ATTTTTTTTTTTTTAACATTTATTTTTGAGACAGAGAGAGACAGAGCATGAACGGGGGAGGGGCAGAGAGAGAGGGAGACACAGAATTGGAAGCAGGCTCCAGGCTCTGAGCCATCAGCCCAGAGCCTGACGCGGGGCTCGAACTCACGGACCGCGAGATCGTGACCTGAGCTGAAGTCGGACGCTCAACCGACTGAGCCACCCAGGCGCCCCATAACATTTATTTATTTTTGAGACAGAGTGAGACAAAGCGTGAGCAGGGGAGGGGCAGAGAGAGAAGGAGACACAGAATCCAAAGTAGGCTCCAGGCTCTGAGCAAGCAGTCAGCACAGAGCCTGACACGGGACTCGAACCCACAAACTGTGAGATCATGACCTGAGCTGAAGTCGGACGCTCAACCGACTGAGCCACCCAGGCACCCACCCCAAAATTTAATGTTTATTTATTTTTGAGAGAGAGAGCAGGGGAGGGGCAGAGAGAGAAGGAGACATAGAATCCAAAGCAGGCTCCAGGCTCTGAGCTGTCAGCACAGAGCCCAGGTGGGGTTTGAACTCATGAACCATGAGATCATGACCTGAGTCAAAGTTCAATGCTTAACCACTGAGCCACCCAGGCGCCCCCGAAATGTCAGAGTAATTTCAAGCGATGAGTTTCAGGTCTTTAAGCTATGTGTTTGGTTTGAAATAGATATTTGAGTAAGAAAATAGGCTTTTGGTAGACAAAAAGTCTGGAAATATCCATATGAACATTATTGGATGGGTAGAAAGGAAGAGGGGAGAAGACTTTGTTTTTTTGTTTTTTTAATTTTAATTTTTTTAATTTATATCCAAATTAGTTAGCATATAGTGCAACAATGATTTCAGGAGTAGATTCCTTAATTCCCCTTACCCATTTAGCCCCTCCTCCCTCCTACAACCCCTCCAGTAACCCTCTGTTTGTTCTCCATATTTAAGAGTTTCTTATGTTTTTGTCCCCTTCCCCGTTTTTATATTATTTTTGCTTCCCTTCCCTTATGTTCATCTGTTTTGTATGTTTTTACAATATGCATTTGTTATTCATAATTAAAAATCATTTTTTATGTAGGAAAGAAATTGGTCTTTGGTTACAATACCAAAATAAAAAGTATTTTTTCAGAAGTAGTCAACAAATTTTTTTATTGCCCTCAGAACCCAAGTTAATTTACTCTTACCTTTATTTTGCAACTTAACACCAACTGCAAATAAATGTTAAGTGATTTGGTTGTAAGGAAGATTAAAATGACCAGTGAAAAACTATCTTAAAACACAAACATCTACTTAGTCCTAATTTTATAGCCAGATATGGATGTGATTTTTTTTAATGTTTATTTATTTATTTTGAGAGGAGAGAGAGCAAGCTAGTGAGCACAAGTGGGGGAGGGGCAGAGAGAAAGGGAGAGAGAGATTTCCAAGCAGGCTCCATGCTGTCAGTACAGAACACAACACAAGGCTCAAACTCACAGACCACGAGTTCATGACCTGAGCCGAAATCCAGAGTCAAGTGCTTAACTGACTGAGCCACCCAGGCACTCCTGGACATAATTTTTTATTATCAAGCCCATGTGATAATTGTGGCAGTTACAGCTTCAAAATGAATGCAGAGGGAAAAGAGATTATCTGAGATGGTTGACAGATTGGCTGAGATACCTGGCTACTTGGTTTCAGAAACAGTAATGTACATTTCCTAATGGAACCTCAATAATTAACATTGAAGGGTAAAGCCAATTGGCATCCTCCTAAGTGGGAGCAGATAACTTTTTAGCAGCAGACCTTGACTAAGAGCATTTCGAGAATTATGAATGATTCTCTTGATCTGATGTAGGTTTCCAAGGCCATTCCCCACCCTAGTCATTACCTACTTCTGATTTTCATATTCATAACAACTGTGTAGTCCCCACCCTAGTCATTACCTACTTCTGATTTTCATATTCATAACAACTGTGTAGTCAATCTCTGGTGGGCTGGTTTCTTGGAACATAACTTACTATTATAGTGTTAAAAAGATGCAAAATGTCTTTAAATGTTTTAAATGATTAAATGTCCCTTAATTTTTTGACTTTTGAAACCTAAAGACTATTGCAGAATGACAGACCAGGTGGTACTAAACAGTTGTTTAAAATTGTCACTATAGGAACACCTGAATGGCTCAGTCGGTTAAGCATCCAACTTTTGATTTCGGTTCAGGTCAGGATCTCATGGTACATGTGTTCAGGCTCCACACAGAGCTCTGCACTGGCAGCATGGAGCCTGCTTAGGATCTCTCTCCCTCTCTCTCTGCCCCTCCACTGCTCATGCTCTCTCTGTCTCTCAAAATAAATAAACACTTAAAAATAAAATAAAATTGTCACCCTAGATTTGACATCCATCAAATAAATGTCACATATTTGAGAAAAATTTGATTGCTTTGGAAGAAAGACAAATCTGATAGCAAAATTAGCATCAAATGTTCTTTCTAAGTGGTAAAGTTGTTTTGCAGTAGTGTTTTTGCTCATGGGGGAAAATTTTTTTATTTAAAAAAATTTTTTAATATTAGTCATTTATTAAAGGTTACTACTTAAAAGTTTTTCCAGGGAACAGCAAGTCTTCAGGTATCAGACACAGGACAAAAAGAACAACCAGAATTTCCAGGGGAACAGTCTCAGATTTGGGGGAATAACAAGAGAAATCAGTAACAGCCATAGGTTTGGGGGAGCAGCCACAGGGACAAGGAATAGCCCAAGGGAGCAAGAAACAAACAAACCAATAAAAAGAAATGTTTTAACCTTTAATATCTTTCATTTGCAGTGCTATATAGCGAATATACTATTTGTAGAATATTTGTCATAAGCATTGAATTTTTTTGCTACATCAGGGATTTTTTTTTTTTAGTAGGATATGAATTCATGTAACTAATGTATATGTTTTGTGGGAACTGAGCCCTGGCTGGCATAAGCAGGTTACTTATTGAGCCTCTCTGGATATTTAAATGTAAGAGTTCATTCTACTTGCATAAAATAGAGACATTAAATCCTCTTTTTGTCCAGGTCCAGTTACTTTTATTCTAAGAGTAATACTTATAATGTTCTGTTGGCCCAATTTTAGTCAAGTAATTACATGGTTTTACAAAGAAAAAACCCAAATGATCTATCTATTCATTATAGTTCAGTAATGGTGCTGCCCTTCAAATATGAAGATGATCTTATTAACCACTATAGTAGGACACAGAATTTGAGTATTTTTCCAGGTATTCATAAGTTTCCATTTCCAAAGTTAACTATATTCTTTCTTCAGCCACTGGTTTTCATTTCCAGGTTAGCCAGTTGCTAAATGTGTACCTTTTAGCTATAAAACAAACCCAAACTTAACCAAACCAAGTGGTTTTTCCCACTCAAATGACCTAACAAAGGACCATGCCCATGGTTACTCTGCTCTAAGCAAGTGACAGAAGCAACTTTGTAAGTCAAAAGTAAGATTTTTTAGGGGAGCCTGGGTGGCTCAGTCGGTTAAGCATCTGACTTTGGCCCAGGTCATGATCTTGCAGTCCGTGGGTTCGAGCCCCACATCGGGCTCTATGCTGACAACTCAGAGCCTGGAGCCTGCTTCAGATTTTGTGTCTCCCCCTTTCTTTGTCCCTCCCCCACTTACCTGTGCGTTCACGCTCTGTATCTATAAAGTATATTAAAGTATAGAGGTGTATAATGCATAAAACATAAAACTTTAATGTATTTTCTGTATATGTGGTATTGACTAGATCACAAACATCCTTCTATGTCGTGGGGAATTTAAGTTACCTATAATGAAGAACATTTCAAACCTGGAAGTGGTGGAATGGTGTGTCAACAACTGCTTTTACCAATTCTTTTACTTTATTGTTTTGTAGATAATGAGCTTCAATCCCCAAGATCTGCGAAGACGTTTGTGGGTGATTTTTCCAGGAGAAGAAGGTTTAGATTATGGAGGTGTAGCAAGAGAGAGGTTCTTTGTTTTGTCACACGAGGTGTTGAACCCCATGTATTGCCTGTTTGAATATGCAGGAAAGGATAACTACTGCCTGCAGATTAATCCTGCTTCTTACATCAATCCAGATCACCTGAAATATTTTCGTTTTATTGGCAGGTTTATTGCCATGGTAAGTACAGATAGAGAACTGTGTTTACTTTGCTAATTCAACAATACTAAAGCATTATTTCTTTAACTCTCTCATTTGGAATTTTCTCATCACTAAGACATTTTTTTAAGATTAGTTTGTTACATTTGCCCTTTTCCCAAAAATGTGCCCTAATAGATGACAAGGGAGCTTTAAGTGAAGAATTAATCTAATGTTCTATTATAAAATTATCATAAATGGTATTATTTTCTTCTTATATAGGCTTTGTTCCATGGGAAATTCATAGACACAGGTTTTTCTTTGCCATTCTATAAGCGTATATTGAACAAACCAGTTGGACTCAAGGATTTAGAATCTATTGATCCAGAATTTTACAATTCTCTCATCTGGGTTAAAGAAAACAATATTGAGGAACGTGGTTTGGAAATGTACTTCTCTGTCGATAAAGAAATTTTAGGTGAAATCAAGAGTCATGATTTGAAACCTAATGGTGGCAATATTCTTGTGACAGAAGAAAATAAAGAGGAATATATCAGGTGAGAGAGAATGTTCCTTTTGATATAATGTAGCCTTTCTTTTGGGCTACAGCACATTGATAATTGCCTAGTGGTACTAGTGGACAGTATTTCAAAAAATATTGTTGGCCTTTTTACTAATCATCAAGAGAACTGATCATGTATAATTAAGGACATGATTGATCACTTTCTACCTTACGAGTATGTTGAGAGAGGAATAAGAAAAGTGCTTATTCAAGTCAAAGGAGGGAGACATCATTTCATCTGGTTGTAACCATGGAGGTTGGGGAACCTTGAAGGTTGGGGAAGATTGAGTTGTGCAAAAATGAGAACAAGTTAAGAACAGAGATATGAAGGCTGGAAAGCACAAGTCACAAATAGTAAAAAGGGAAGCATGACGTGTGGTGGTGCTGTCAGGCAGCTCAGAGTTGGTATCCCATTCTGCCATATCCTGCATTTCAGAGGCCAAGGAAAATAAGGAATCTTTAAAAGATGTGGAGGCTAATAAATTTAATAACCCTTAAGACAACAGTTAGAACTACATCCACGTGGTAGATACAGAAGCCAGATTACAAGAAATTAAGGACCAAATTCAGTAGACAATCAGTCTAAATTTCTCTTTTAACAAGTCTAGCAGCAAAATAATGAGAGAACAGATTCTTATGGAGGCAGCAGAGTAGAGAGACTATCCTGCAGGTTAACTCAAACTGAACTTTACACAGAATTAATCTAATGGATACTGATAGGTTTTATACCCCCTTTCTTGGTATATTTTCAGTTTAGCCACAATTTTTAATATTTATAAAGTGATAGAAAAAAATTTTGGTCATATAGAACTTTTACTTTTTCTCCAAAAGTGGGAGTTTTAAGGGTAGAAATAGTGCTAGATCTCTTTTAAATACCGGTTCTATAACCACTATGCTATCTAACACCAAGTCATTGAAAATAATCTCCAGTTTATATGCAGATATGTTTGTGGGGAATATTGTAAGATCAGATAAAATTTATAAGTAAAATAATTTATTATGTATCCTCTTATGCTTTGCATTCATTCATACTTTAGTCTCAAGGGTCATTCGTTTATTCACATATTCTCAACACCAATTCTGTCACATCAGGATTAGTTTTCACATATCTGCTGCTTCTTGAGTGCCAGCTTCTGTCTCTTGCTTGGTTTTCTGCTTTTTAAATATTAACATATTCACTCCAGCCTTCTGTGATTAGTATTTGCATAATAGATCTTCCTCTCTCCTTTACTTTTCAGTCCTGTCTGTGTCTGTATTTAAAGTGTGTTTCTCGGGATGCCTGGGTAGCTCAGTCAGTTAAGAATCCAGCTTCAGCTCAGGTCATGGTCTCACAGTTTGTGAGTTCGAGCACCACCACATCAGGCTCTGAGCTGACCATGTGGAGCCTGCTTGAGATTCTCTCTCTCTCTCCTTCTCTCTCTGTCCCTCCCCCACTCATGCTTTCTATCAAAATAAATAATAAACTTAAAAAAAAATAAAGTATTTCTTACAAGCAGCATATTCTTGCGTCTTAACTATTGTTATCCAGTCTGATAATCTTTGCTTTTTAAATGCAGTGTTTAGTGTATTTACATTTAATGTGATTACTGATATGGTTGGACTTAAGTCTGTCACCTTGCTGTATGTTTCTTATTTATCCTAATTTCCTTTGTTCCTCCTTTCCTGCCTTTAATAGAGTAAATTTTAGGTTTTATAGTCTGTTCTGTTGGATTTTTTTTTTAAGCTATCCCTCTTTAATTTTTTTAATGACTGCTCTGATTATCATCTATATCCTGAATTTCTCACTTAAGACTATATAACTTATGATTGATATTATATTACTACTTGTACAATGTAAAAGGCTTATAATAGTGTAATTTTAGCTATCTCTAGCCGTTTGTGCAATTGTTGTCATATTTCTTACCTTACAAACCACATAATACTTTATTACCTCTTGCTTTAAGCAATTACTCGATTTTTTTTAGTTTTTATTTAAATTCCAGTTAGTTAACATACAATGTAATATTAGTTTCAAGTGTACAGTTTAGTGATTCACCACTTCCATACAACACCCAATGTTTCTCACAAGTGTACTCCTTAATATCCATCACTTGTTTCTCCCATTCCCACACCCAGCTCCCCTCTGGTAACCATCAATTTGTTCTCTGTAGTTAAGAGTCTATTTCTTGGTTTGCCTCTCTTTTTCCCCTCCATGGTTTTGTTTTTGTTTTTTTTTTTAAGTCCACATATGAGTGAAATCATGTGTAGCTATTTGTCTTTCTCTGACTTATTTCACTTAGCATTATATACTCTCTTAGTTCCACCTACATCATTGCACAATTACTAGATTTTTTTTAATGTTATTTATTTATTTTGAGAGAGAGAGTATGAGCAGGGGAGGGGCACAGAGAGAGAAGGAGAGAGAGAATCCCAAGCAGGCTCTGTTCATTGTCAGAGTAGAGCCCAATGTGGGGCTTGATCCTACAAACTGCAAGATCATGACCTGAGATGAAATCTCAGTTTAACCAACTGAGCTACCCAGGTACCCCCAATTACTAGATTTTTTAAGAAATTAAGAAAAAGTAGTCTTTTACATTACTCACGTTATCATTTCTGGTTGTCTTCATTTCTTCCCACAGATCTATTTTTCCATCTGGGATCAGTTTTAAAAACTTCCTGTATAATTTTTCTCTGTGCAATTGCTGGCAATAAATTCTTTAGCTTTTATCTGAAGGCATCTTTATACCACCTTCAGTTTTAAAGGATATTTTCATCGGATTTAGAATTCTAAGTTTATAGGGTTTTTTTCCCCTCATTTTTAGCACTTTCTTTCAATAATGTCATTCTGTTATTTCTGTTATTTTTGATATGAGAGCCATTGGGGTTTTTTTTATGTTTTTTTCTGAATGTCTGTTTTCTGTGGTTTTTCAAAGCATTCCTCTTTAATTTTGCTTTTTTGCATTTGACTCTGCTGTACCTAATTATGATTGCTTTTATATTTATCCTACTTGGCATTTGCTGAGCTTCCTGTATCTGTGATTGATGCCATTTCAGCCATTTTGGAAAATTCAGGGACTGGATCTTTATGGATGTTCCTTTTGCTTCATTCCTTCTCTACATACTTCAGACTTCACTTAGATGCATGTTTAATCTTTGATACCATCCCATGGTTCTCAGATACTCTATATATTTTTTATCTTTTTTTCTGCCCTTTTAGTTTGCACCATTTTGATTGACCTACTTTTGAATTCACTGCTCGTAAGTCCATTCAATAAAATTTTCGTTACAGATACTCAGATATTTTGTAATTTTTGTTTGGTTCTTTTAAGAGTGTCTGTGATGATGGGGCGCCTGGGTGGCGCAGTCGGTTAAGCGTCCGGCTTCAGCCAGGTCACGATCTCGCGGTCCGTGAGTTCAAGCCCCGCGTCAGGCTCTGGGCTGATGGCTCAGAGCCTGGAGCCTGTTTCCGATTCTGTGTCTCCCTCTCTCTCTGCCCCTCTCCCGTTCATGCTCTGTCTCTCTCTGTCCCAAAAATAAATAAACGTTGAAAAAAAAAAATTAAAAAAAAAAAAAAAAAGAGTATCTGTGATGAGAATCCCCATCTCTTTACCCATTTTGTCCATCTTATCCTATAAATTTTTAATACATTTTAATAGCCTTTTAAAAAGTCTCCGGTCATCCACCTGGATGGCTCGGTTGGTTGAGCGTCCGATTCTTGATTTTGACTCAGGCCATCATCATCCCATGGTCATCGGATAGATCCCTGCATCAGGCTCCCCAATGAGCATGGAGCCTGCTTGGCATTCTCTCTCTTTCCCTCTGCCTCTCCCTTGCTCATCTCTCAAAAAACAAAAAGAAAAAAGTCTCTGCTAACTTCAACATTAGGCTGTCTGTGGGCCTAATTCTATAAACTTTTTTCTTTTAACGTTTATTTATTTTTGGGACAGAGAGAGACAGAGCATGAACGGGGGAGGGGCAGAGAGAGAGGGAGACACAGAATCGGAAACAGGCTCCAGGCTCTGAGCCATCAGCCCAGAGCCTGACGCGGGGCTTGAACTCACGGACCGCGAGATCGTGACCTGGCTGAAGTCGGACGCTTAACCGACTGCGCCACCCAGGCGCCCCAACTTTTTTCTTTTATTATGAGTCACATTTTCCTGCTTCTTTGCAGGCTTTTTTTTTTTTTTTTAATTGTGGATGATACATGGTAGACTCTGGATTCTTTTTTCTTCCTCTGAAGAATATTGACTTTGTTTTGACAGGCAGTTAAATGAAGGACAGATCACATTGATCCTTTGGAAGCTTGCTAGAGGTGGTCTATTTCCATTTTCCCTTTATTCCTAAAACATGGTCCTTACTTCTTACAAGGAAAAGCCTAAAGTGTTTACCATGTAACTTTGTGAGATGTAAACTCTAACATTCTATCTCTCTGGTACTAGGTAACTGCTGAAATTTCTGCTTGGGTCTTTGGCTTTTCGGTTTTTGCTTTGCACAGGGTTCCTTGGAGTCTCATCATGCTACACACATGTATTTAACAATCAGCTAAGGATTTGAAGTATATTCCTGTGCAGATTTGGATGGGAGTGCCTTCTCTTTGTGTTCTTTCTTTCTGGGATTTTTACATAACTGTTGACAGCTTGAAGCTCCCATCCTCAGGTTTCCTCAGCCCAATAAGACTGTTGCCTTTTATTTGAGCTTCATTCTCTTGCGCTCCATGTAAACTGGGAAGTACCCTCAGGAGAAAAGCCTATTCATAATGCAAATCCTTCAAGAATCTAATCCCCAGCAATTTTTGCCTGCCATTGATTTCTCTCTGATGCCTTCAAATAGTTGTTCTATTATAATATGCCCAGAGTTTATCATTATAATCACCAGGCACATTAATCCACTACAGCCTATACTGCCATTTCCCAAAATTTCAGAGGCTTCACAGTAAACTTTAGGACTTTAGTTATCATAAGTTATCATCAAGTGATCAAATGCCTAAAATACCCATATTTGTTTGCTCATTAAAATTGTTTAAATAGGGGGCACCTGGGTGGCTCAGTTGGTTAAGCATCCAACTTTGGCTCAGGTCATGATCTCCTGGGTCATGGGCTCAAGCCCCGTGTCAGGCTCTGCTGACAGCTCAGGGCCTGGAGCCTGCTTCAGAATCTGTCTCCCTCTCTCTCTGCCCCTCCCTTGCTTGCATTCTCTCTCTCTCTCTCTCTCTCTCTCTCTCTCTCCCCTCCCCTCCCTCCCTCCCTCTCCCTCCCTCTCTCTCTCTCTCAAAAATAAATGTTAAAAAAAATTTTTTTAAATAAGTTGAAATCTAGAGTATCTACTAGGGAATTTTCATTAAAAAGTATTTTCATTGAAAAAAATTGCAAAGGGAAAACCTCTAAAAGAAGCTTAAGAGATGTTTGCAATGTATGAACCCTTTTTAGATTTTGATTGAAGCAGTATGTTAAAAAAAAAAACTGAGTCAATCAGAATTTGAGCACCGAATACTTGGCTATAAAAGAATTACTATTCACTTTTTTGTGTGATAATAGAATTGTAGTTATTTTCAAAAAGAGACTTATAGAGATACATGCTGAATTATTTGTGTTTAAAATGAAAGTATATGATACCTAGGGTATGGGTAGGGGCATAATGAAATAATATTGGTGGTGTGTTGAAGCTGGGATATAGGGTTCATTATATCCTACTTTTATAAATATTTGAAATTTTTCATAATAAAGTTTATAAAAACTATTTTTACACTCGGAATTCAAAGGTAAAATCTAAACTTCCTGATAGCTCTTTTAATATTTATTTACCAGAATGGTAGCTGAATGGAGGTTGTCTCGAGGTGTTGAAGAACAGACACAAGCTTTCTTTGAGGGCTTTAATGAAATTCTTCCCCAGCAGTATTTGCAATACTTTGATGCAAAGGAATTAGAGGTAATGAGTTTTTCTTATTTCCTCTGCAGCATGCTGGTAAATAATGCCTTCAGGTGTCTGCTTTCAGCTCACTTTCTCATCTTTGTGTTAGAAGTAGTGTTTTTTATGCTGGCAGGATGTTTTGAAGCTCGCTGGTGGTTAAAAAAGTCCATAATTTATCCAAGTATATGAAAGTGTTACCCCCAAGAAAAGTATTGCTATCAAAACCTCTCTACAGGGGCGCCTGGGTGGCGCAGTCGGTTAAGCGACCGACTTCAGCCAGGTCACAATCTCGCGGTCCGTGAGTTCGAGCCCCGCGTCAGGCTCTGGGCTGACGGCTCGGAGCCTGGAGCCTGTATCCGATTCTGTGTCTCCCTCTCTCTCTGCCCCTCCCCCGTTCATGCTCTGTCTCTCTCTGTCCCAAAAATAAATAAACATTGAAAAAAAAATTTAAAAAAAAAAAAAAAAAAAAAAAAAAAAACCTCTCTACAGTGAGTGACTAATTTGCCTGAGTATGTGTATATATAACACCATCTGTGGAAACTTAACCTTCATAAGCAATGTGGACACCATTCCTGACGCACAGGTTATAAGCTAAAGCCTCCTGATTAATTTTTTGAGAGTTGCTGAATAATAGTCTTTTCTTCTATATATCAAGAATTTTTATATAGGTTGTACAGTTACCTAAAGAAATCTTTTTTTTTTTTTTTTAATCTCCAAAGGTCCTTTTATGTGGAATGCAAGAGATTGATTTGAATGACTGGCAAAGACATGCCATCTACCGTCATTACACTAGGACAAGCAAACAAATCATGTGGTTTTGGCAGGTTTGTCTCAGTTTATTTCTGTTGGCAGACACATTATAATTTTTTAGAAATTGCTTACCATGTATGGAAAAAGTCACAAAACAAAATGTCCTACTGTATTCAGGCCCTCATTCCATCCTATGCATTATAGTAAATGAATATATTACATAATAGCCAAATTATGGAAGTAGCCCAAGTGTCCACTGATAGATGAATGGTAAAGAAAAAATTTGTGTGTGTATATGTGTGTGCATATATATGGAATATTATTCAGCCATGAAAAGAATGAAATCTTAAAAAAATGAAATCTTGCCATTTGCAACAACAAGGATGGATCTAGAGGGTGTAATACTAAGTGAAATAAGTCGTTCTGAGAAAGACAAATACCATATAATTTCACTCATGGAATTTAAGAAACAAATGGACAAAGAAAAAGATAACCCCAAAAACAGACTCTTAACTAGAGAAAACAAACTCATGGGTACCAGAGGGGAGATGGATGGGATATGAGTGAAAGAAGTGAAGGGGTTTAAGAATACACTTATCGTGGGGCGCCTGGGTGGCGCAGTCGGTTAAGCGTCCGACTTCAGCCAGGTCACGATCTCGCGGTCCGGGAGTTCAAGCCCCACGTCGGGCTCTGGGCTGATGGCTCAGAGCCTGGAGCCTGCTTCCGATTCTGTGTCTCCCTCTCTCTCTGCCCCTCCCCCGTTCATGCTCTGTCTCTCTCTGTCCCAAAAATAAATAAACGTTGAAAAAAAAATTTTTTTTAAAAAAAAAGAATACACTTATCGTGATGAGTACTGAGTAATGTATAGAATTGAATCACATATTGTACACCTGAAACTAATATAACACTGTATGTTGATTATACTGGAATTAAAATAAAAAAAAAAAAAAGATTACAACAGCATTTTTAAAAGACTATTTCTGAGTAAGCAATTTGCACCTTTGCCCAGAGTATAAGACCTCTCTATATTATGGTTCTCCTGCATTTGATCTAAATGCTTTTGGAATGTTCTAGAACAGCCTAAAGTATGATTTTCATCATTCATACCTCACTAAGAATTCTATAATTCAGAAGGCAAAACTTAAGAGGGTGAACTGGTTTGGAATCGTAATGGTGTCTTCAAAAAATGTCTGCTATAAGGACATGAGAAGATGCTCAAATCACTAATCATTAGGGAAGTGCAAGTCAAAAGCATAATGAAGTACCATTTCATATCCATTACTAGCATGGCTATTATCAGAAAATAGAAAATAATCATCCTTGTTGAGGATGTTGAGAAATTGGAACTCTTATATATTGCTGATGGGAATGTAAAATGGTGCTCCACTTTGGAAAACATTTTAATGGCTCTTTGAAAAGTTAAACATAGAAATTAACATGACTGGCAGTTCTCCTAGGTATACCCAAAGAAGTGAAAGCAAGGACTCAAATACTTATATACCTATGGTCACAACAGCATTATTCACGATGGCCAAAAGGTGAAAGCAACTTAAGTGTCCATCAACAGATGAATGGATAAACAAAATGTGATATACATATACAATGGAATGTTATCCAGTCTTAAAGAAAAAGGAAATTCTGGCAGGTTACAACAGAATGAACCTTAAGGATATAATGCTGAGTGAAATAAGCCAATCACAAAAGGACAAATATTGTATGATTCCAAGATTCCATTTATATGAGGTATCTAAAATAGGCAAATTCATAGAGATAGAAAGTAGAATAGAGGTTAACAGAGGCTGTTGGGGGTGGCCAGAATGAGGAGGTAACAGTTTTTGTTTAGGATGATAAAGTTCTAGAAATTGTGGGAGTGGTTACACAACAGTGTGAACATACTTAATGCCATTGAATTCTTGCTTAAAATGATAAATTTTGTGTTATATATACTTTACCACATTAAAAAAAATGCCTCAGGGGCACCTGGGTGGCTCAGTCAGTTAAGCATCCGACTTCAGCTCAGGTCATGATCTAACGGTTTGTGAGTTCAAGCCCTGCGTTGGGCTCTGTGCTGACAGGTCAGAGCCTGGAGCCTGCTTCAGATTCTGTGTCTCCCTCTGTCTGCCCTTCCGCCACTTGCACTCTGTCTCTCGCATTGTCTTAAAAATAAATAAACGCTAAAAAAAATTTTTTTTTAAATGTCTCTTACTTATGTAAAGAAATTCCTAAGAAAATCAAATGAACCAAACTTCTATAGCAAATAGGATTAGAATTTTAAAATATTTGACAAAAAAAAATCTACAAAAAAAATAATTTGGCTGGACCAAAATACTTGTGCTACAGGCTAGAAAGCATCCTCCAGAAACCTAATGTTTTGAGTCAGAGTTGTAGGAGTTGAAAGGCACCTGATTGTGGCAGTGTATAGCTGCACCAAAACCTAGAGAACATTGAGAGAGGTTATTGGGAAATATCTGGGTCAGAATTCTATGAACTTGATTTCATTTGTTCATAAAACCAAAAAGCTCATACTGACTCAGGCTCTGTGTCCTATGTAACCACATGAATATCCTATAGGACAGATCTGTGGGGAAAAAGAATGGGCTGCTCTGGAAGAGCTAATCTTGAGACTTCATGAGTAGGGTACTCTTAGACCCAGGGCACCTTTCTTTTTTCTATCTCCTTAAAAGGATGTGGTCCTAAGATTTATATAGGGGAAAGTTGATAGGACTTTGACAAACATGGACACGGTAGTGGGTATAGTCATTATCTAGTGCATCTAACACTGGGAGTTCATTTGAAATGATTGTTTTTCATTCTTGTGTATGCTAAATGTAACATAAGACCTATATATCTCTTTACATGTGTTTTTTTTAAAAACAGTTTGTTAAAGAAATTGATAATGAGAAGAGAATGAGACTTCTGCAGTTTGTTACTGGAACTTGTCGATTGCCAGTTGGAGGATTTGCTGACCTCATGGGTATGTGAGACAGGATCACTTTTCCTATACAGAAAATTGTTTATCACGCTGCTGTTACATTCAAATCAGTGTGGATAGCTCAGGAATAACAAAGAAAAGAATAGCCCTTTTCCTAACTAGTCATAGTTAACCTGGATTTGTGTAAACTTTTAAATCACTTTGTAATCCTTACCTCTAGAAGTTTTTTATCTTAAGACTAGATCCCACATTTTAACTTCATAGAATAGTGATCTTACTGATCTTCTATATGTAAATCTGTTTGGTCATTCAGTCATTTGGCAAACATTTTAGTGTCTCCTATGAGCCAGGCACTGTTGGTTGTACTATACTATATTTTAATGATGTGTTTAACATTCTTCTCTATTATACCTGGAGCTCCATGAGATACAGAGCTCTATCTTTTTATTTCTGGTGTCTTGCATAGTGCTTGTCACATAGTAGTTACTGATCAAAATGTATGTTGTTTGGAAATGAATGACCATGGAAATACTTTTGTGACTGATAATAAGTAAATTCAAATCTTTAACACCAGCATAATGCCACGTACCATAGGAGAAAAGAAGTTGTGATCCCTACGCCTGCTTCAGCTGAAGCAGAGAGTCAGAATTGAAGAACTAAGTAGGCAGTGTTGGATACAGTTACTTTAAAAGCTAGACCAGAAGAATTTGGACATTATTCTGAGGGTATTGGAAGCTATGAAACTTTTTGAAGAGAGAAAACTTGCTGAAGCTGCATATTATGAAAATTTGATAGCAAGGTATACCATGCATAGGAAGAAAATATTGGAGCAATGGTGAGAACCTGATCTTAGGAGATGGAAATAGAGATGGAAAAGAAGGGATAAATGCTAGAGAGGTTCCAAAGTTAGAAAAGGACTTGAACAGAAGATGAGCTAATAAAGGAAGAATGTCCAGGATAAAACCATGTTTTGAAAAATGAAGAAATAGAGTTGTGAAGTGTAAAGAACATGGTTTAGAGGTATTGAGGGAGGATAATGATTGGCTTAGAACCTCTTGAGTTCAAAGCAACTGCCAGACAACCAAGTGGAAAACCAGGGAGCAGAAGGGCAGTTTAACAGGTGTTGCTCATATGAGTTTAGAGGTAAGAGTAGAGAAGGAAAGTAGAGTCATGGGAGCAGTGATGCTTGAAGCTATTAGAATAAGTTGGTTTATGCAGAAATCGAATTCAGAGATGCTTAGAAACACCTGTGTTTAGGGATGAGCTAGAAATAGCCTAGAGGCAAACTTAAAGGCGAGTCCAGAGAGTGAAGAGGAGAAATAAATATTCTGGTTTCTCAGAAGCAATATGGAAGAAGGTTTTTAATCCAGTGCTAGCAAGGTCTCAGAGAAGGATTATTACTAAGTAAGTTTTTGGAGAGGGGCACCTTTGAGAATCGTCTCTAGATTGAAAAAGAAAAACCATGTTGGTGGTTGGGGAAGTAAGGTAATGACCAAAATGAGGAGAAAATTGGTACCAGTTTCAGTGTAAGCTAGATTTAATCATTAAAGAGATGAGAACTAGGTCTGCTCTTAGAAGTAATATTTGGAGTTAGGTGGAGCTGTTTAAAACAACATAGGAGGATACCTGTGGAAGGCAGAGACGAGATTGTGCTTCATACAATTTTAGAGGCCATCTGGTTGAATCTTCCAGTCAGTGTAGGAAGAGAAAGTTGTTAAGAGTGAAGTATATAATTTAATGTGATAGTTCTCAACCCTTGACAGATCTGACATCCCATTTCTATAACAATATTTATAATCTCCTCTTTAATATTCTGGAATGAAATTGGTAGGTATGAAATAAAAGTGTCTACAATCTCTAAAAAATATACATAAACTTAAGCACCAACTAAAATTTTTAAGTGACTCATAATGAAATAATATTTATTTTGATACATATGTATTTGGGAACAACTGTTAGAAGACACTAATTAGTAAATACTTGTTCCTACTTAAAAAGACTTGGGTTTAAGATAAGATCAGAGAAACCTTTCTGTATAAGAAACACTAGAATATGAAAAAAGAGAACAAGAAATAATTGACTTAAATAAATATGATAAGAAAAAGAGGGAAATAATCTAAATGGAATAAGGATAATAGACCTGCCAAAATAAATTACAGATGATCAAAGTGGAGAAAAATGAGGTAGTGTCTGTGATGAAGTTCCACCACAGGCCAAGGCTCTGATTGATTAAAAAGTCCTCAGAGATCATACTATTTGAAAGTAGAAATGGGTTGAAAATAGGAACATAGGTACAAGAGTCCACATAGAACTTGTTTGGTTTGGGGACAGTGTTAGAAGAAGATTGAAAACAACAGGCAACCCAAAATAATTTCAGTGTATATAATGTATACAACTTGATGTCTTAACATTCCATAAAGTTTTAGAAACTTTCAGGATGATATGACATATTTGTAAAATAGCCTTTATTAGTGAAATTCACTAAAATTCCTTCATTTCCTATTTCTCTGTTTTAATTTTTGACTGTGTCTATTGAATGTAATCTGGACTCTTCCGTTAAGTATTAATTAGTACTATTAAAACGTTCCATCTTTGTGGTTAGAAATGCTGTAGTATATCGAAAAGAGAGAATGTTTAGAGTAAATTAACATAATTTTGAGGTTAATTATTGAATAATTTTAACTAGCCTTTTGCACAATAACCATTTCTTTACTAGGCTTTTAGCATAACTGTGCAAACACTTTGATACTATAAATCAAAAGTACTGCCAATTCATATATGTACTGGGTTTAGTTGAGTGGGTCATAAGAAAATTCATTGAGTATGACTGTCTCACACATTATAGAACATTTATTTTGCCTGGCACCCTATAATAATTAAAGAAGTCGAGTAGCACCACTAATCATTGTGACTACAAATGATTATTTCTAGGGCTTGGTAGTGACCTTTTAGAAAACCAGTGCTTACAAGGTCCCCATTCACTCTGTCTACAACAAAAGATAAATGAGAGGCAAGAACTGAGTGTAAGTTTGTAAGGGTATGTTCTATAGGACCTATAAGCACAAGCATTGTTAATACTGAATTAACTAGGTTGTTTACATTTTATAAAGTTTTAACAATTTAATGTTTAAACCAAGTTTTATTGTGTAAGACAGTGGATTGTAGTTTCCCTGTTGTGTTTAAAGCTAAAATTGAGCTTTTTAGGTGTTCTGTTATTATTTATAGCATTCTATTATTCTGGCAAAAGAAAGCTAGATAAAATTGCAATTTCTTTAAAAAAAACTGCATTTTCTTCTCTTGGGCATACATTGACAAATTGGTTCTCAAACATTAGCACTCATCAGAATCATCTGGAAGCTTGTTCAGACACACACTGCTGAGCCTTATCCCAAAGTTTCTGATTCCATTTAGTAGGCTTTGGGTGGGGCCTATGGATTTGTGGTTCTAATAACTTCCCTGGTGATGCTGATGCTGCTGAACAGAGAAGGTCACAATTTGAACCACTTGAGTATCAGACTGTTGATTTCACTGTTTTAGGGAGCAATGGACCACAGAAATTCTGCATTGAAAAAGTTGGGAAAGAAAACTGGTTACCCAGAAGTCATACCTGGTAAGTAAAATCAGAAAGAGTTGAAAAAATAGCCTTTTCCCAGTTACCTTGTAGGTATTAAAGCCTCTTGGAAATTGGAAATGAAATATTTTTCCCCATGGTGTTGAGTTATTTTTAACAGCTTTATCAAGGTATAATTTATATACCATAAAACTACTAAAGATTATAAGGTTATTCATTTAAACTCAGTGATATTTAGTAGATTTACAGAGTAGTAACAGTTAACCAGTTTTAAGTTATTTCTGTCACTCCAAAATGATCCCTTATGCCCACTTGCAGTCAGTCCCATTTCCCACCCCTGAATTTTTTTTGTTTGTTTATTTTTGAGAGAGAAACAGGGCTCGAGCAGGGGAGGGGCAGAGAGAGAGAGAGAGAGACAGACAGAATCCGAAGCAGGCTCCAGGCTCTGAGCTGTCAGCACAGACCCTGAAGTACTTGGCCATGTGTTGTACGTATATTTGTTACTCTGTCCCTCTACCCTGAAAAGTAAATATTGTTATTCCCAAGTTACCAAAGAAGAATCCAAAATTCAGAAAGGTAAAAGCACTTGTTCAAAGCCCAATGACAGAGCTGGGATTTGAACCCAGTTTTGCCTTACTTTAAAACCAGTGGTGTTGGGGCGCCTGGGTGGCGCAGTCGGTTAAGCGTCCGACTTCAGCCAGGTCACGATCTCGCGGTCCGTGAGTTCGAGCCCCGCGTCGGGCTCTGGGCTGATGGCTCAGAGCCTGGAGCCTGCTTCCGATTCTGTGTCTCCCTCTCTCTGCCCCTCCCCCGTTCATGCTCTGTCTCTCTCTGTCCCAAAAATAAATAAACGTTGAAAAAAAAATTTAAAAAACAAACAAACAAACAAAAAAAAACCAGTGGTGTTGTATGCTACACTGGTCATATGATTCTTTATATATTTCCTTTTCTCAAGCTAACAATTCTTACTTTTAGTTTTAACCGCCTGGACCTGCCACCCTACAAGAGCTATGAGCAACTGAAGGAAAAGCTGTTATTTGCCATTGAAGAAACAGAAGGATTTGGACAAGAGTAACTTCCGAGAACTTGTGCCACCAAAGGACAAGAACTTATTTACAATGTTTGTCCTTTTCCTTCTCTGCTTGTTGCACATCTTGTTGTAAAATTGGGCTGTGACTGTTTAGAGAGTTATTTGAGTATAAGTAAGTTAATGTTATCATTGAGATTTATCTCCCAGTGATTCTGGATTTCTACTCCATGTTTCCAGAAATCAGATTGCAAATGACTAGTCGAACCTTACTTAACATGAGATTTAACAGCAATGAAATCTGCCTTGTCTTATTCCACTAGATTGTTACCTTAACAACAGTTTTGTATACATGTGTCAAAAGTCTCGCTTGGGAGTAGATTTTTTCTTTTAGAGACTTCTGCAGATATGCAGGGAAGTCCCTTGGTAAATGAAATATGTAAGATCTTCCTATTAAGTCTCTTGGTAAGAGGTATTGGTTAAAAGTGCAAACTTAACCCAGCTTCTGGGGATGTGAGCAAACTTCTGGCTTGTGCTCTCCCTCTCATTTCAGCCTGGCCTGACTGTTTTTTCTTCCCAGAGCATGAATCCATGCATCATTTTGCTGTTACCCCTGGAAAGTGATGCAAAACTCTTGCATCTCTCTACAAAGTAGTTTTGTTAATTTGAATTCAGGGAGAAGTTGGTTCCAGCCTGCAAATGTCCATATAACTCTCTTCATTTGGAAGTTTGATTGTTTTAATTGCCTTGCAAATACTAAACTTTATAAAAAATATTAACACTGTGCTTCCTTCAGGGTGGTAGCTAAATTCATCAAAGGCCATCATTGGCAATTTTTGTATGTTATTATATATAAATTCCATCTATAATTTTATCATAATCCAACAACTTCAGTTTATTAGTTATTGCTAGGGAGTTCAAGTTGTAACTAGAGTACTTTCCAGTCCAAAGAGGGAGGTCAGTGAAACATCCTCTACATTACATTTACATAGGGAGGGAGAGCTGTGGTACTGGCTAAAGAGATGGGAGTAGTACATTTAATAGCAATACATTTCTAGTAATCACAGAAATGTATTCTGTGTGTGAATTAAAAGTCTTCAAATTTAATCATTTCTCTGACACCTTGGAGTAATCTTTTCCATTCTTTACATTGTCCTGAGTTGGATATCCTCTTCACTCATAAAGTTTTAACAGGTTTTTCCTTGTTTTTCCCATGACTATTTAATTTCAGACTGCTCCATTAGTATCTGATTAAATGCACTTTGAATGTCTCTGTAGTTAATTCTTTTAACTTGGCCTAGCTTAGACTCTGTCAGGGTGGCTGCTGTCAGAGGTTTGACTTTATGGACAGTGGGATGAAGCCTCAGCCAGCTGAGTGCCTATCACACGCAGCTGAACCCTGAGGACAGCCTCATATAATTCATGAAACAGGGCTTTGGTAGGTTTTGGTAGCATAGCAGGAACAAGTAGTACTGAGCCAAAAATAAGCAGAGAGTAGCAAACCCCTGGTCCATATGGAAAGAAAATGGTTTTTCTTTGTCCCTATTTGTCCTTTCACATCCTGGAAGCAACAAAAACATTTTAAAACTTGTGTATCTGTACTCTAAAACACTGCCATCATAAAGCAGACCTAAGTGAGTAAAAGGGTTGCCTCATCTAGAAATTGTTAGTGTAAAGGTGGGGGAAATTAGGTTCTCCCCAACCCTATCTTTGTTTTTTTATTCCATATACTCCAGGAAATGTATGATCTCTAAAAGCCCTGGTTTCCAAAGTAGGGACTCTGCCTTTTTGTTGGTAGGGGGGAAAATGCTATTGCTTTGTCTTACAGAGCGAATGTCTGCCAACTATCCATTCATTATATAAATCTGAACTTTGGTAATATATGGCTGTGGAGATTAAGCCTTCTATAAAGACTTACTATTGAGGCGAATTCTCATTAAAATGTAGTTATCTACAATATTTACTAGAGATTTATAAGATTAAATTAAATAATGTAAGAAAGTAGACTTGTTTTTGTTCTACATAATGCTTGATGATTCATTTAGGGACCTAGAAATATTGTGTGAAAATGTATAAATATCACCCAAAAGGCTTTCTGCCCTATATTTTTAAAATACAGAATAGCTATATTTGAAGTAGCCCTGGCCCTAGTTCTATAGGGCTTGGCTATTTAATATTTTTATGGAAGAAACGTTTAGTTCTGGAAAAGGTAAATGCTTGTATATATTTTTGCAGCCTGGGATCTCCCTTACTCCATTTCTTCCTTTAATTTAAGTGGCCACATGTATATGTCTTCCCTGCTGTGTTAGGAAAATGGGGGCTGGATATCCCAAGAATCAGAGGTTATATAAAAATACTACAAATAAGCAGCAGACATAATTTACCTGCCAAATGCTATTTTAAATTTTGGTCCAAACTGAACATTTGGAAATAGATTTATTGTAAGTGTTCAATTAGAGCAATTTCTTAAATCTGAACTAAATTGCTTTTAGAGTCCTTTTTCTTTGTAAGCATTGTAAATGCTAATAAATCCTGGTTTTTTGGGGGGTTTTTTGTTTTTGTTTTGTTTTGTTTTTTTTTTTTACTGCATGTTATGTTGAAATAAAAACAAAGTAAAATGAGCAATTGCCTTATTCTTCTGCTCTTTTGGGAGATTGGGGAAGGCAGCCTTTCACAGCCTGGGTCAGGAGGGAAGGACCTCACTTGTTTCAGATAGAGTGGTTTAAAACTGATCCAGCAGCTCATAATAATGAATTCCTGCTCTTTTATGAACTTAAATCAGAGTGCAGAAGAATCTAATTTCATAAGACTTACAATAACTCTATTTAAAATTCAGGTACTAATTTTTCACCAAGAGATTGACATACCAATGTCAAATCATCAGAAATTTAAGTGAAAAATGACTCGCTCACAAAGATTGCATCCTAAATGAACTATTTCAGTCAAGCCCACTCTGCCACTTTTTATTTATCTGATTAATAATCTAAAATGTTATCAGGGATGACTCATGGAATTAGACTTCTCTATTTCTATATCCCTCCTTGTTTTGGCTGTAACTATATCTGAACTTCTTTATAAAGTTTATTACTTCTACTTAATATTGTTGGTATCTCCAGCCCCCTTATTTTTTGTTTTTCTTTTAGAGTTATTTACAAGATGATCTGTATATATGCTATGCTTTCATTTACTAAAAACAGAGAATGGCAGCACTGGATTGTATATTACTGTATTGGAGTTCCTTTGTTTTCTTGAACTGTAATTTCAAATACTCAGGTAACTCTACAAATATCACAGGGAGTCAAGTGCTCTTATAAAGGTCCTTCAGGGGGCTGCCTCACTTGCATTTCCTTAAAAGATGTAAGACTGTGTTTATAATTAAACTCTTTTGGTCCTTTGCACACTGTTATGTTAGTCTTGAGTAAGAAGGTTTTCCTCACCTGCAGCAAAAAAAAAAGCCTTCTTTCTGTGTGAATTGTATAGATTTCTGCCTCTCTGTCTTTGTAAGTGCACAAGTTGTAGCTGGTCTGTACTGTGGAGTAGGTAGAAAAAAACTGGAAAGACCCACTGAGGTGAGATTGGATTTGTTGCCTATGTTAAGAAGAACCAAGATGAAGACCTCTCCTTTTCTTTTTTTTTTTTTTTAATTTTTTTTTTTCAACGTTTATTTATTTTTGGGACAGAGAGAGACAGAGCATGAACAGGGAAGGGGCAGAGAGAGGGAGACACAGAATCGGAACAGGCTCCAGGCTCCGCATACAGAGCCTCCCAGAGTCCCACAGGGCTCCGAACTCAGGACCGTGAGATCGGACCTGGCTGGAAGTCGGACGTTAACCACTTGGCGTTCCCAGGCTTTCCCGTATCCCTCCTTTCTAAAACAAGTAAAGGTGCTCTAAGACAGGACCCAAGCATGGGTGCTGAATAGAAAACCACCAGCTAGTTATCAAGACTGACCTCAATGAGTTATCCTGCTCAATAGATTCAGTAGACTCTTTTCTTATTAGGAAACCAGGCGATCACGCTCTCATTTAAAATAGAACCAGTGGCGAGAGGCTAAGAGGAATGGGATTTTAATATTTTTAAAAAATATTTATTTTGAAAGAGCAGGAGAGGGGCAGAGAGGGAGATAGAGAATCCCAAGCAGGCTGTGTGCTGTCAAAGTGAGCAGAGGCTGTGCGGCTTTTGTACTCATGAACCATAAGATCATGACCTGAGCCAAGATGAAGAGTCAGACGCTTGACTAATTGAGCCACACAGGAGTCCCATGATTTTTTTTTTTTTTTTTTTTAATCTGAACTGGCAGGGACTAGAGGACAGAAACTGCAGGTCCCTTCCAGGTCCTGAGAAGTAGACACTATCCTGTTCATTGTTTCATACAAGCAGCTAGAAAGATCTAGCTTCAGTGTGCCTAAGAAAAAGGGAGAACTGTCCCTCCCAGCATGAGGAAATCTTCCATGGGAAGTTAATTGTTCTTAACCATTTGGCTTACTGGCCCCAATCCCTACAAAGAACATCAAACAAAACTCAGCTGTGGCTGATGGGCTGCTGTTATCTGGACTTTAAGAAATGTCTCCTAGTGTGTAATTCTAGAAGAGAAATTGCTGTCACTCCCAGCCTATTTCAGTTATCAGTGTTTGTAAAGCTCCTTTGTCAGGAGTTGACAAGGAGAGGAGGGTCTTCAGTGGAGACCTCAGAAGGACAGTGTTGGTCCCTTACTAACAGATTCCCATTAAGCAGAGCTGCTGTGGGCAAGAGGGTTTCCTCAAGGCACCCTACAGGGCAGGCAGGACCTTGAGAATTTGTGGTTATACCTACAGATCTGAAAACCTCCATACTGTTCCTTTTCGTCATTTCTAATTAAGACCTGCTCTTCTATTTGTCTTCCCTATCCTGGCAACCAATACCATACCTACATTCACTTAGTCCCAGGGCAACGATCATTTATTACTATGTCCCAAACATTGTTGGATATGCCACATGCAACTGTCATTTAGTCTTCCTGGCCACTCTCAGGGATGATTATTTCTATTTTACAGATAATAAAATGAAGGCTTAAAGTGATTAACTTGAGGTTGTTCGGTGGCAAGAGTGCAAACTGGAAAGGACTGACTCCAAAGCCTGTGTTTACCTAAACGTTTATATCACATTACTAGTAACGTTAACCTTGATCCTCTGATTAAGATGGTGTCTGCCCAGTTTCCTCACTGTAAAGGCACTATCCAATCCTCTTAACATGCAGACACCCCTGAAAGGAGCACCAAATCCTTCCCCAGTTAAGAGAGGCTGCAGTGGAATGAAAAATTGAAATTAGGTTATCTGTGTTGAATTGAGCACCTTCCCCAAGTATGTTACCTTTTACTGGTCAACATGGAATTTCCCAGTGAATACTGGGAAATTTACTAATAGGCCCCTTCCTCTTCCCTTAGGAGGGCCTAAACAATTCGTTCCTTGCGAATAAACTGTTTTCTTCTCTCTCTCTTTTTATTCCCTCTCTATGTAAAATCTTTGTATAGCTCGGCAGAGCTTCCCTCTACTTGTTTTATGTGGGATGTTGACCCATTCATGACTCGTGTAATAAAACCAATTAGATCTTCAAATTTATTCCATCGAATGTTTTTTAATAAAGGCTAAAGAACAGAAAATAGGACAAACGTAGGGCTCTGCAAAGAAGGCTCCCCCCTTATAAAGGTGAGAAAATGAGAAAACAGAGATGTAAAGTGGCTTCTCCAAGGTAACCCAGGGGGTGGGGCTGAGCTTGGGAGTCCTAAACCTGCATACTCCCAGCTCAGCCCTGACCACTCCATCTGAGAACCTGCCTGGAATATTTCCAAGGGGGTCGCTCTGAAGACCCCAAAGACACCTGACTCCAGTCCCACTCCCCAACTTTACCATGCGTTGGGCGCATTTTGGCTCAGCGACTCACTTTGCCTTAATCAGGGCACAAATGGGGTCTCAGCAACACCCCTTCCTTGCCTTCACACTCGCCCACAACCGTCCACCCAGGATTTCCGGCGCCATCTCAGACCTCGGTGGAGAGTTGAAAACCTCTTCTGACACCATCTTTTGGCACAGGAGTTGGGAATTTTCCACAGCTGAAGCGTTCCTCTGCTTTTCACTATGGGACAGGGCCTGGCAAATTCCTTATGAGCCCTGGGGGAGCTGACTAGACCCGCCCGGCCGTCAGTCCCACGCTGGGTCCTGGTAGGCTCTCGGAGCTGTCCGTTTTGACAGGGTGTTGTGCGCAGGCGCGAAAGGTACCGGGACTGGGCTGAGTGCCGGGGTCGCGGAGCTACTGGATCGGTCAGAGATGGTGAGTGTCTGCCTAGAGCTTGTGGTTGGTGGCCGCAGGGTGGTCGAGTACGACCGCCCACCACCCTGCGTCTAGCCTTCCATTCTCTGGGGTCGTCTCAGAGTGCCGGGCTGGGAATCCGCGGGCCGGGGCGGGGCCGGACCCCAACTGACTGGAGGACGGAACCCGGGCAGCGCGGGCCTCGAGACCCGGACTGGGTACCGAGGGGACCGAGGCGGGGCCACCGGTCTCGCAGGCTCTTGACCGGAAGCGGGAGCTCGGGCCTCGGCAAGGGTCTGAGAGAGAGGGGGAGGCCAGCCGAGAGGCCCTTACAGTTTAGAGTCCTGGGCCTTGTAGCGCGATAACAATAACGATAAGGTTTCCTGGAAGCTTAATTTGTGTTCGACGCTGCTAAGCGCTTTACGTATTTTGGCTTTCCTCCTCACCACAGTTCTGTGAGGTAGGTACGACCATTATCCCCATTTGACATACTTGAAAGCTAAAGCCGAGTGAAACTAAATGCCTTCTCTTAGGAAATGGCGGAGGTTGATTTGAACCCCAGAAGCTTGATTGACACCTTTCTGTCCCTGTGGTTCTTTCGAGCGTCTGGGATTTGGTGCATGAATCAGACCGGCGGGGTCCACCCTTGGGCATCCCAAAGCGTTGCTGGCGGGAACTGTGTGGGCTCTTTATGACTTTATTAGTTTGTTTTCTCATGTTTTTAATCCTCCCGACTTGGGGAAACTTGAAAAGACTTATTAAATGTGAAATCAAAAATCTTATTTAAAAACCGTAAAACCCACAGGAAAAATTGAAAAGGAGAAAGGAACAGTGCCATGACCTAAAGGCAAGCACTTATAATTAGACATTTGTCTAGTCTTTCTGTCTTCAGCTTTCCTTTAATATAGTTTAGCTCCTACTAAATGTACAGTTGTGGTCTCGGCTTTTTTCATTTATTATTACACCACAAAGAATATGATTACATCACTAAAAACATGTAATGTTTCAAACATATGTAACTTTAAAACTGTAAAGAAAAATTTTAACAGATAATACCCGCAACACAGTAAAAACAATAATCTGAAAGGATCTAACTGAAAAATAAATCTCCCACCCAACCCTGACCCCTAGCCTTTGTCTCCAGAGTTGAAAGTTCTTTATATATCAACAGGCATGTATATGCTCCCTCTTTTTCTGACACAAATGGTGGCTTACTGCAACCTGTACCACGCTATTGTGTGTTTATACTCATGAAAACAAAACATATTTAGACGCACATTTTAACCAATTCAGGCATATCAAGTATATTGAAGCATGTAATGCAAAAAGTGTGTGAAGTACCTATCTCACACCCCTATGATGTGTGCCAACAACTGTTGGCATTTGGCTGTTTTCTTCTAGGTTTGATTAGTGCATAACCACATGTACATATAAGCTTGTTTATCACATGAAACTGGAACATACATGTTTCTACATATTAAGTTTACTTTAGGCTATATAGAGAGAGAGAGATCTCCTGCAGCTTACTCTGTTCACTTAAAAATATCAAACATTTTTCCATGGCAATATATACAAATCTTTATTCTTTTTAAGGATTGTATGGTATTCCATTGCAGTATATATACATTTAGGTGATTTACAGTTTTCCACTCTAGACAGTTATGCAGTAACTATTGTCTTTTTGTGTATGTGTGTGTGCTCATGCTAGTGTTTTATGTAGTGTTTATGGAGGATATAGGGTAGATTCCTAGAAGTGCTACTTCTGGCATCCATAGTTTAGTTTGGTAGAAAATGGGGCGCCTGGGTGGCGCAGTCGGTTAAGCGTCCGACTTCAGCCAGGTCACGATCTTGCGGTCCGTGAGTTCGAGCCCCGCGTCGGGCTCTGGGCTGATGGCTCAGAGCCTGGAGCCTGTTTCCGATTCTGTGTCTCCCTCTCTCTCTGCCCCTCGCCCGTTCATGCTCTGTCTCTCTCTGTCCCAAAAATAAATAAACGTTGAAAAAAAAAAAATTAAAAAAAAAAAAAAAAAGAAACTGCCAAATTGCTCTTTTTATGGTGATATAAAAATCATCCATAATTCTATCTAGTCTTACTCCACCACACAACTATTTTCAACTCTGTATGTTCTCCTTCCTCTTGGTTCACATATGCATATTTTTCAAGATGTACATTCTATTCTTTTTTGTTTTAGTATCCAAAGACATTGAACCTTGTTGCTACATCATCTTTGTGATGAATTCTTTTTAGTGACTGCATAATAGTAAAATAGTTGTACCATAATTTGACAAACCATTCCCCCTGGCATACGTTTGGGTTGCTTCTAACTCTTCATTAGTAGAGGTAATGATGTGATGAGTATTTCTGTATATGTAGAGTTTTTCTTCTGTTATGTTATGTTATGTTATGTTATGTTATGTTATGTTATGTTATGTTATGTTATTTTAGAGAGCACAAGGCAGGGGAGGGGCAGAGGGGAAGAGAGAATCTTAAGCAGACTCCACATTCCAACATGGAGCCAGATGGATGGCTTGATCCCACAACCCTGGGATGGGGACCTGAGCCGAAATCAAGAGTCAGACACTTAAATGACTGAGTCACCCAGGTGCCCCTGTTTTTCTTTTTGAAAAATTTAGATTATTTCCTTAGGAGAAATTCTCAGGAAAAGAATTTCTGAGGCCACTGGACCAACACACTTATGGGTCTTGCAGTAGTGTTGTTCTGTGGCTTTACCAAAAGGTCAGATTGCCTTTGTACCAGGTTTGCCATAACTGCCAGCATTTAAAAAGATACTCCAGCATTGCTATAATTTTTCATTTTTTTATTTATAGGAAACAGTGAACATTTTTCTGTATGGTTGTATTTTCTCTTAGGTGTATTTTTTACTAGTATCCTTTTGGCCCACTTAACTTTTACAACACCCAGTGCTCATCACAAGTGCCCACTTAACTTTTAGATTTTTTTTGTTTAAGCTTATTTATTTACTGTGAGAGAGAGAGAGAGAGCGCATGAGCAAGGGAGGGGCAAAGAAAGAGCGAGAGAGGGAATCCCAAGCAGATAGTGCAGAGGCCTACACAGAGCTCAATCTCATGAACCATGAGACCATGACCTGAGCCAAGATTGAGTTGACGCTCAACTGACCGAGCCATCCAGGCGCTAGACTTTCTATTTTTCTTAGTCATTTTGTATGATATTTTGGAATTACTCTTTTGTTATATCAGATGCACATGTTTTTCTGTCCTTTTGATTCATTTTTGTTTTATACAAATTAAAATGTTTATGCTTAGTAGTCAGATTGGTCACGGTTTCTTTGTTAACTATTTGCTTCAGATAGTTATTGCTACCAGGCTGAACTAACAAGTAATCCTGGAGTTTTACTGCTATTTGTTTTTCCATCTGTCAGCAACATGCACCTGGGAACTAAAGAACATACAGACACCCATGTTAGTAGTACCTACTACCCAGGATGCTGAGGATACCAGTTGGGCTCTCTCTAGGACAGGAAGTTGGAGATGTAAGTCAACCCTGGGGGACTGCATATCCAGTCAGATATTTCTGATACCAGTTGGCTAGCTCTGCAGAAACAACAAACTTTGAGCTAGGTGTGGCATGACTAGAGGTGGCATGACTGGGATGCCTGCCTAGGACTGTCCTTTCCCATCTGTAAATGTCCCTGTTTCTGCTTGTGGCTTTGGGGCATCATTTGTTTTTCTTCTTCGCTCTTTTAGGGCTGAACTTGTGGTTTGTTTTAAGCAGTTTCTCCTGAACCCAGGTAGGTAATTGGTGCCCTTGTCTCCTGGAGACCCCTCTAGACCTCATGGTCCCCACTCATCCAGGCCTAGCCCCATCCTGGTGGTTGGGGTCAAGTTGGAAAAGCTTTTCTCTAGTCTTACAGAAAACTATTTTTATTTAATTTGACTATGTAAAAATTTTTAAACTTCTGATTATTGAAGAAAATCAGAAGATTAAGTGAAAAAGGGAGGGAAGTGTAATTTATGTGATGGACAAAAGTCTAATGTTTCTAACATACGAAGTTTTTGAAAATCAATAGAAATGTGGCAAAAATCAGAAGACTCAAAATGGAGAGATGTAAATAGTAAAGTTCATTTCAACTTCACTGATAATTCTTAAAAATGAAAATAAGTTGACTTTCTGTTGTTATATGATTTGTGCATATCAGATTAGTAAAGAGTTGGAAAACATTGGCAATACCAGTCCTCTTTATTCCTTGAACATGCCAAACTTGTTCCCTGCACTGCTTTTGCTTTCAGTCCTTTGCCTGGAGTGCTCTTCTTTCTCATCATTTAGTTCTTGGCTTAAAGATTACATCCTCAGTTGTTCCTGGTACTAGCCAAAGTAGCATTCTCCTGCACCCTGCCCAGCCCCGTCCCTCTACCCTGCAGTAATCTTGGTTACTTGTTTTTTGAACATCTTTTTGCCAGAATGTGAGCTCCCTGAGGGCAAGGACCTTATCAGTTGTGGTCAGTGGTATATTCAGCTCTTCTCTTGACCTGCTACAGATCTTTGGGCAAAACTCTTCTTTCTGAATCTCCATTTCCTCATTGTAAAATGAAGATCATACTAACCACGAAAGGTTCAGATGAGAGAGGTGTCTGAAAACATTTATCCCAGTATCTGATCTACTGAGCAGGTCAATGCATAATTGGTGTGTTTACTTTTTAAGAAGCCAGATCTCAGTGGCAGGTTCTCATTAAACTTAGGACCACCTAAACCCTAGCTCTTGTTTACCTTGGGTACTGTAAGGCCATGTCTCCCCTCCTATACTTAAAAAGGTTGATTTTTGTAAAACGTAGTTGTAGAAGTGATTTTTATTTGCTCATTAAGTATTTATTGAGTCTTTATGGTGCTGAATAGTGGGATTATAAAGTCTAGGTCCCTGTTCCTGGGGTGCTTTGGGTTTAGCACACAGATAGTTACATCTCATTGTGGTAAGTGCTGTGAAGGTGGGGTGCCAAGGGTGCCCAGAAGAGGGGCAGGAGGCTCATGAGTTGAGTCCAGAGAGCTGGGAGTTAGTTACATCAAGCAGTGAGTCAGGGAGAAAAGGTTGCTTCCTTCAGAGAGAGCAGCACAGGCCAGGGCCCAGACAGGCCGTGCTTGCCCCCTGCAGTCTTTTCTCCACATAGCAACCGGAGCCATTCTTTTGAAACAGATCTTGTCATTCCTCATGTCAGAGCCTGCTAGTGGCTCCCCATATCATCCTCATTAAAAACCGTTCATTGCTGTGGTCTTCCAAGCCCACTGAAATCTAATCTGACCATGGCTGCCTCTCTGATCTCTCTCATCTGGTCACCTGCTGCTCACTGCACTTCAGTCACACTGGTTCCTTTGAGCCCTGGAACATGCTATCTCAGGGCTCTTGTATTTGCTCTTCACATTGCCTGGAACACTCTCCCTAGAAATCCACATTAGCTCCCTCATTTTCTTCAGATCTCTACTCAACTATCACCTTAGTGAGGACTTTGCTGACACTTATTTAAAATTGCCATCAGTCCTTGCATTCCAGATGCCCCTTCCCTACTATATCTGACGTTTATACTTCACTTATTTCTTTGTTTAATGTCTGCTCTTCCCTCCATGTCAGCTTCATGAAGGCATGGGTTTTTTGTTAGATTTTGTTCACTACAGCATCCCCAGACCTAAAACAATGTCTGGCACATAGAAGGTACCCATATACCTGAAGTGGGGCTGAAGTATAACAGTCATGAAATAATTCATCTTTTTCATTTCAGCCCCACTTTGTAGTCTCCAGGGGATATTTCAGACCTCTATTCTGACATCTTTGATTTTAGCTTTCTTTCCCTTCTCTAGGTTGATTGCAGATTGGCTGGGCTGTCGATGTTGAGTATGTCAGAGCCCTGTGGTCTCCATGTTAGAGATCTCTTTCTTGGATGCACGGAGAAGGGTTAAAAAATGTTTTTAAGTAGAAACAACATATGAGAAGAAAAAGAGTCTGTTTTGAAAAAAAAAAAAAAAGAAGAAGAAAGAAAACCTTATCTATAATTTCCTGCTCTCAATGTGGCTTTTATTTTTTTCAAAGTCCTAACTCTCTGATTTTTTTTTTTTTTTCAACGTTTATTTATTTTTGGGACAGAGAGAGACAGAGCATGAACGGGGGAGGAGCAGAGAGAGAGGGAGACACAGAATCGGAAACAGGCTCCAGGCTCTGAGCCATCAGCCCAGAGCCCGACACGGGGCTCGAACCCACGGACTGCGAGATCGTGACCTGGCTGAAGTCGGACGCTTAACCGACTGCGCCACCCAGGCGCCCCATCTCTCTGATTTTTTTTAATGTTTTTATTTATTTTTGAGAGAAAGAGAACGAGCTAGGGAGGGGCAGAGAGAGAGAGGGAGACACAGAATCCAAAGCAGGCTCCAGGCTCTGAGCTGTCAGCACAGAGCCCAATGTGGGGCTTGAACTCACGAATGGTGAGATGACAACTTGAGCCGAAGTCAGACGTTTAACCAACTGAGCCACCCAGGCGCCCCCTAACTCTCTAATTTTCATATGGTTGCCATCATCAAGCACTTTATTTTTGCATTTTAGCTGCTTTCACTTAATGTTATGTCATACTTTTGTGGTGTTATAAATATTCTGATCACCATTGTTATTTTTGTGTGTTAAATTCGTATGAATGGACATTCCATTGTTTATTTGGCTTTTTTTCCTAATGATTGGGCATTTTTGGCTCTTTCTACTTTTTGCTACTGCAAGGTGTCACTGCAGTATTGTTGTATTCTTCCTTTAAGTTATTTCCTTAGGATGAATTTCAGGAAAGTTACCAGGTCAGGTTGAGTACTGTGTAATATTTACCACTATCACACTTTACCCCTCCTCTCCAGAATAGCACTTAATAGGAGCTCAGTGAAAGTCTGTTGAATGAATTATGACCTCATACATGCATGACCCATTACATTGTACTCAAATCCACAGAGCTAGCCCTGTCCTTTTACCCAGGCTCCAGATTTATGAGGCTTCAGGCTATTTGCCATTTTGTAGGAAGAACTTGTTTGCCCTTCTCTCCAGCATTTGAGTATTCTTATATCATTGGGGAGTGGGTGGTAGTGACTGGATTGTCAGTCTTATGCCTACTAGAAAAACAATACTTCATTGTGCTATGTCCATCTACTGTTTAGAAGCTCCTCCTCTTCAGGCCAACCCATTAGCCCTTGGGGGTGGGGAACCACTTTTTTTAGGCGGATGGAGCCTCTGTTTTCAACATAGTCCCAACTCAGCCTTTGAGTAGCTTCTGACTGGATTCTGGACCTGTCTGGAAGGAGCCTCCTAAAAACAAGCACACTTGAAGGCCAGTTTCCATCCACAGAAACAGGCGCAGTTCAGTTAAGCAGCTGTTTATTGAGCACCTAACTCTGCAGAGCATTGTAGAAACTCTAAGTAAACCAGTACCTAATGCATTTCTAGTCAAGAGCTTGGGGAGTCAGAAATGGGCAGACTCCCCTGAGTTGAGGATCAGTAAAAGCTTCATGGATGAGGTGATGTCTTAAATGGCCTAGAAGAATTTGTTGGATTTCTTTGTTAGGGTAAAAAAGATGTAGAGATAGGTATGGGAATGGAGATGGAGAGTTGAAGGAAAGGTAAAAGAGATAGGAGTGATCATATAGAAAGCCTGGCATGGCAGGGTGAGGACCCAAATGCCATGTGCTAGTTTCTGGAGAATCAGGATTAATGAGCCCCTTCCCCAGGCTGTGTGCCATGTGTTACACTCTCAGATGCTAGCTTATTAAGTCACTGAATTTATCCTCATGGTGTTAGAGCAAATACTTGGTGCCCTGGAAGAGACAAGCGACATGCGCTCAGGGAATCAGAAAAGACTGTTTATTTCGCACCGGTGCCAGCCCAGCAGAGTCACCTCCAAAGCCTGAGCCCCGAACTTTGGCATCAGCCTTCTTTTATGGTTGGGATGGTAGGAGGTTGAGAGACAAAAGAAAAAGGGGAGGGGGCACTTATCAGTGGTGCTCTGCAGGCAGTTGGTGGAGGCAGAAAGCAAGTAAGATCATGGAAGCCAAAAGCATGCAAAAAGGGAGTATCCAGCCACAGACATCTGACTGGCCCTTTGTATCTTGTTTTTACTAGCTTTTCTTCTCAATGGAGTCACTTTTCTTCTTTAGAATGTTTTCAGTTGTGCTGTTTGGGCCACAAGTGACAACTTAGTCCTCTTCCTGTTAAGACACCACTGTTTGGGTTTTTTTCAAATCACCAGAGTCCTTTCCTAAGGTGTACCAAATATGTGAGTCATGGATGCCTCTATACTCCAAGAATGGTATTTATATTCTGCTCCCAAACAGCTAAGCAGGGAGGGAAAATAGTGCCTGATAGGCAAAGGGCCTGGAGTAGCCCCGCCCCATGCTGGGGTTTAAGTGCTGGAAATGGCCTAGGGACCACTCCGAACAAGCCTGGGGGCTTTGAGGAGGTGCCTAGTACCTGGGTGTTGTTTGTTATTGGAAGACAAATATATGATTCATTTGCCAGGAGTGTGAGGGAATTAATCCAGTCTTACTGGCCCTTCTTAACTTTGGTCTTGTTCTCTCTGGCAGGCAGAGGTGGAAGAGACACTGAAGCGACTTCAGAGCCAGAAGGGAGTACAGGGAATCATCGTGGTGAACACAGAAGGTACCCCCTCCCTTTGGCTATGACCTGCACACAGGCAGACCCCCAGAAAACAGCCCAAATACAGCCTGACACTGTTTACTAAGCCCCTTCATGTATGGGATCTAATTTTTACCCTTTTTAAAACATTTCCAGTGTCCCAGCACTATAGTTGGAATTCCAAAGTTTAAAAAAGTAAAAATTCACTCAGTCCCACTGCCCTAACAGATCATACTTTTTAATGTGCCATGCTTTTTTTTTTAGCCCTTGTACAGGTATGTCTTCTCTTACTCTTTTTGCATGTTTATTCATGAGGTTGTTTTTTGGCTTTTTTCCTTCATAATTTACATGACCAAATTTTTTAACTACCAGTTCAATGTTTATCAGACATCCCCCATTTATATTGTTTCTACTTTTTAAAAAAGTTTTTTATTTATTTTGTGTGTGAGAGACAGAGAAAAAAAACGCAAGTTGAGGAGGGGCAGAGAGGGAGAGAGAGAATCCCAAGCAGTCTCTGCACCATCCGCACAGAGATACATGTGGGGCTCGAACCCACAAAAACTGTGAGATCATGACCTGAGCCAAAATCAAGAGTCGGATGCTCAACCAACTGAGCCATTTAAGTGCCAGGGGCCCCTCTACTTTTTTTTTTTTTTGAAGTAAACTCTACCCATAGTGTGGGGCTCAAACTCATGACCCAGAGATCAAGAGTCACATGCTCTACCGACTGAGCCAGCCAGGCACCCCTGTTTCTGCTTTTTTGCTAGATAATACTCTGGCCTATAGCTTTTCCCTCCTCTTCTATAGCATTTTTTTTTAAACATCCCAAAGAGTACAGTTACTAATTTTCCCAAGCTACGATGGACTAACATTTATCACATGCTTGTTTCATGCCAGGCCACAGGCTGGTGCTTTATAAACATATTGTTTCATTTGTCACATAAGGCAGCCCTGTTGTCTCCATTTTGTAGTGGAGAACATGGAGTCTAGACATTTAATTGATTTGCCTGCCATTACAGAGCCAAGGTTTCATTCCAAGTCTGTCTGAATGTACTTGCATTCTCATACACTGTACTGTGAAGGATCAGAGTAGCTGCTGGTCTGTGGCCCAGGCCATGCCCAGGGTCGGCCCGGCTGGGCTCCCCCGATCAGCGTTTAGTCAACTCTGATTTGTTTGGGACTTCTTGAGAGCCCTGTGTGGATACGTTATCATTCTAGGCCTTGTTTTTAGAAAGGGGAGAATTCTCAATAATGCCTACATAATAGAGCAAAATGAAAGTCATCAAGAAAGAAAAAGTGAAAGTGGCATGTCCTCAGAATATTGTTTTCCAGGGGTGTCTGGGTGGCTCAGTTGGTTAGGTGTCCAACTTCGGCTCAGGTCATGGTCTCACAGTTTGTGGGTTCGAGCCCTACATGAGGCTCTGCGCTGACAGCTCAGAGCCTGGAGCCTGCTTTGGATTCTCTCTCTCTCTCTCTCTCTCTCTCTCTCTCTCTCTCTCTCTCTTTCTCTCTCTCTCTGCCCCTCCCCCACTTGTGCACACTCTCTTTCTCTCTCTCTCTCTCAAAAATTAATAAACACTAAAAATTAAAAAAAGAAAATAAAAGAATATTGTTTTCCAAGGTACCTGGGTGGCTCAGTCGGTTGAGCATCTGACTCTTGATTTCGGCTCAGGTCATGATCCCAGGGTTGTGGTATCGAGCCCCACCTCATGCTCCATGCTGCTCATGGAGCCTGCTTTGGGGTTCTCTCTCTCCCTCTGCCCCTCTCCCCCACTCACACTCAGGCTTCTGTGTTCTTTTTCTCTAAAATAAAAGTTAAAAAAAAAAAAAAATGTTGTTTTCCAAGTTGTCAGACCCTGGCCAGCCTAGAACTAGGCAGTACATGCTCTCCAGCTTTGTCAGACTCTAATTATACCCTGCAATCGAAGCAGGCAGCATGGTGGGAGCCCTCAGGACATTGTGGAAGCAGGTGCAGGTCCCAGTTCAAGTTTGCCACTGATCAGCTGGAGGACCTGGCACTTCCTCTTCCCCTCTTCAGACCTCAACTGCCATAAGTGGAATGGTTGATCGAGGTAGTTTCTTCTGGGTGTTTCTTACTCCAAGACCTAAAAGACCATTTGTGTATCACCCAGAGAGAGACTTTCTTCTTCTTGGACTGGACATTTTTTTTAAGTTTACTTATTTTTGCGAAAGAGAGCAAGAGTGAGCATGCACACTCAGTGGCAGGGCAGAGAGAGGAGACAGAGGATCCAAAGCAGGCTCCATGCTGACAGCAGAGATCCCAATTCAGGGCTCGAATTCACGAACCATGAGATCATGACCTGAGCCAAAGGCAGACACTTAACTGACTGAGCCTCCCAGGTGCCCCTTGGACTGGATATTTTTGACCCCAAATGGGTAGGGAACAGCTTCCGGGGTTGTTCCCCAAATGGGGAAGGAACAGGCCTCCATCAGTATTTGCAAACCACAACCTTCATTCTTACCTTAAAATGGTCTCAAAACTTGAGCTTTTTCATTGGGAAAATAGAGCCTCAACTGCTTACCTTTTGGATACTAATGAGCACTTCTTTTTCATAAACAAATGTGGCAGTATTGCCTAGTGACTAAGAATATAGAACACAGAACCAGACTGCGTACGTTTGAATCCTGCCTCTACTTATCAGATGTGTGATCTTGGGCTAGTCATTTAACCTTTCTGTTCCAGTTTCCTCATCTGTAAAATGTGGATAATTATACTACCTTCCAGGGAAGCTTTTAGAACAGTACCTGATGTATAGTAAATGCCATATAAATGTTAAAATTATCATGTGTATGTATTTATTTATTTTTAATTTGTGTCCCATTCACAGAGCTCCCACTTTAGTCCTCATTTACATTTCACACAGTGCCCCTGCCAGGCAGGGGTATTGCCCATTTTTCATATGAGAAACCCAGAGCTGATGACCTGCCCAAGGTCAGCCAACTGTGAATGGAGATGGTCAGAACTCACTGCTCTATAGAGCCTTTAAGCTTTCTGGAAGCTTCCATTAAGGATGATTAGTTAGGGGGGTGCCTGGGTAGCTCAGTCAGTTGAGCATCTGACTTCAGCTCAGGTCATGATCTCGCCGATCCCAAGTTCGAGCCCCGCGTTGGGCTCTGTGCTGACAGCTCAGAGCCTGGAGCCTGTTTCGGATTCTGTCTCTCTCTCTCTCTCTCTCTCAAAAATAAACAGTTAAAAAAAAAAAAGGATGATTAGTTAGGGATTCCTATTATCCCCTGTAGGGTTTTCCTACCCCCATAATTCAACTCAGGGGCCTCTTCTTGCAGGATGCCTTTCCTGATCACTCCAGTCCAGACTGATTGCTTTTGGCCCTGAACTCATGACACACCCTTATCCTAGTCACTTGCCAAACACCTGCCACTAGCTCTTGACTTCTCTGAGTTGGCCATATTTAACTGTTTCACAATAAAAGTGTGAATTTAAGCAAAATTGCCAAGAACTTAAGGAATATTTCATTCCATTTGTACCTGGTCAGACCACCTGCCATCTTCTGCTGCTACCACACGGGGCAACATAAAAGACTCAAATGTGTAAGCTTCATGAGGTTAGAAATTTGTCTCTTGTGTTCACTACTGTATCCCCAGTACCTAGAACAATGTTGACATGTAGTTGGTGCTTAATAAATAGTAGTCCCCCCACACACCTTGTCTGTGGTTTGGGGGGGGGGGGTACATTCCAAAACCCCCAGTGGATGCCTGAAACCGGGATAGTACCCAACCCTATGTACACTGTGGTTTTTTCCTACATGTGCACACTTGTGATAAAGTTAAATTAGTAAATTAGGCACAGTAAGAGGTTAACAATAACTAATAGTAAACAACTATAACACTATACTATAATAAAAGGTGAATATGGTCTCTCTCAAAATATCGTATTATACTGTATTCACCCTTCTTGGGATGATGTGAGATGATAAAATTGCCTACGTGATGAAATGAAGTCAGGTGAATGACATACAGGCATTGTGACGTAGTGGTAGGCCACTGTTGACCTGATCAGGAGAATCATCTGCTTTCAGACCAGAGTTGATGCAGGTAACCAAAACCATGGAAAGTGATACTGCAGATAAGGTGAGGGGCTACTGCCTCTGTTAAATATTGTTAATGTTCTTTATTGTTGATTGATGAGGCTGGGTTTGGTGGGAATATCTGGTTATACAACTTTGGTCTTGACAGATCTGAGCCCCAGGTTAGAAATCCTGCTCCCTTGTGACCAGCTACTTCTGCAGAGTGCACAGTCCCAATTTGTAAAGGAAGAAGCTTGAAGCAGGCGACCTAATCATTAGGCTATCTTTGAGATGTCTGCAGTTCTGACACTGTCTGAATCTGGACTTAATCTCTTATCCTTATTTGAAATTCTCCCCAGTTTTGGTCCCTGTTCTGCCCCCTCACCACCTCTAATGTTTTCTTTTGTTTTTAAAGTGAGCCATCAAGTAGTTTCTTGTCTCCTTCATACACCTCTAACTTAGTAGAAATGTGATAAAAATCATGACAGTATTTGAATTGCTGAAAGAAGCCCTTGAGAGCACTCATTTGTCACCAGCAATAAATGCTTAATGGAGTCTCTTTAAGGACAATGGTGAGTGTAGCAGACCTGGTCCTGACCCCCAGGAAGCTTATAGTCATAATGATCACTTCCATAATGGTGAGGTGTCAAACTCCAAAGAAAATGCTCCAAAGGAAAATCATGTGGGATGGTAAAATAGGGGCATTGGCCACATCTGGGGCTGGGTAGATACACCAGAAAATGGAAACCTGAGGAATCAGTGGGAATCACAAAAGAATGAGGAAGGAAGGAAAGTTCCAGGCAGAGAAACCTGAAAGAAGGTGGCCTTGTGGTATATAAGAAGAGAAGGATAAGAGGTTTGATCATGCAGACTTTGCCAGGCCTTGATACTGGCCCTTCAAGTACCCTGGGTGGGGATGGGATTTATTGTGTGGTGATGTTGATAACAAATCAACATTTATTACATTTGTACTCTCTTTCCTAAATATTCTTAAATGAATTAGCCATATTTAATCCTCACAGCACAAGTATCATTTTACAGATGAAGAAATAGAGTTTTAGGTTAAGTCACATGTCTGAGGCCACATAGCTATGAAGAGACAGAGCCCAGGGTATTTGTCCAGGTCAGAGTTTCTACTCAGTCATCACCATAGCTGCTCATAGGCCATCCTCGGGAAAGTCCGCTATGAAGTGAGGTCTCCAGGTGCCCTGGTGGACACATTGTTGTCATCCAGGATCCAGTAGCAGCGCTAGTGATCTAGTCCTCGTCCCTTAGCATATGTGCTGCCGAAGCAAGCACCCTCTCGTCCCTTAAAGGCAAGTGATCACTATGGTCTGTCTTCATGACTTCACTTCGCTCAAAGCAGTCTCTCTGACTCAGCTGCCTCTCTTGCCACTATGTCCTCTTCTGCCCAATCTCGTGTTCCTGCTCCCTAAGAAGAAAAGATTGGGCCAGTTTCTTGCCACCTGTGAGAAGGCCTGAGGCTGATTGCCTTTGGCCAGTCTTTAAGCTGGTCACTTGTGGGCCAGATCAGCAGGGTTGTCAGCCCCCAAATCTAGCCACTTACATGTGAGGAGCCACTTGTGCCATATTCCCCACAAGTGCCTGTCAGCTGTGGGCACTTAAGGCCTCCTCATTGGAACCTGCTAATATGTCACGGTGATTCATAGATACCTGATGATTTAGTTGTGTCCTGAGGTGGCTCAGGCTGAGCCCGATTCTTCACCTCCATGACAATAGGCACTGTCTAGTAAAAGAGGTCCATTTAATAGTTCATTGCAAGAAAACAATCCTCAAAACAGAAAAGGCTTCGTACACAATGGTGTTCGCTGCTTAGTAATTAAGTAAAAAAATCCAGCCTATGTACCAACAATAGAGGAATGATTAACTCTGTGGAAGGTCCATTTGTGGGCTCTTTGAAAGCAATAGCAATGCTGTTTACAAGTGTATATGCAGACAGAGAAACAGGCTTAAATTTGAGGGGCACAATCATGTGTATAGACAATGTGTTTACAACTGGGCCCAAAGCCTCCATTGGTGGGAACTGGATCAAAACACTAGAGATGGTAATGTCTTGGCACAAGCTGACCTTTTTCTTCTTCCTACTTTTCAATATTTACCAATTTGGAAGAGCTGCCCTCCTTGTTCAGGTTCTAAATGTTCTGAATGATAGTCTCTCCTTTTATTGCTAGAAGCCAGTCAAGACAGTGCCAAGAAAAGAGGAACCCAGCAGCAGAGCCCACAGGCCTACATTTGAATCCTAGCCCCACTGCTTATCTGCTGTGTGACCGCTCAGAGCTTCTGTTGCTTCATTGGCGAGTGAAGATGGTGATACCACCCCCAGAGTAGTTCTGGGGACTGGCACTGCCATAGTTAAAGTGCTCAGCACTGTGCCTGTCAAGCCCTCAGTAAATACTGGCATTGATTGTTAACTGTCAGTCCAGTACTCTTGAATTAAGGGTGCAGTGTTGGGAGCTGGGCAGAAAAGGGTTTCAACATCCTGTTCAGTCTCTGCTCTCCCTCAGGCATTCCCATCAAGAGCACCATGGACAATCCCACCACCACACAGTATGCCAACCTCATGCACAACTTCATCTTGAAGGCCCGGAGCACCGTGCGTGAAATCGACCCCCAGAATGACCTCACCTTTCTTCGAATTCGCTCCAAGAAAAATGAAATTATGGTTGCACCAGGTAAGAGGTCTTCCGTATTCCCACTTGGGAGCAGACTGTCACAGCATATTCTGTGCCGCTTATCAGGAAGGCTTGGCACATTGCTGTCTCCACAGGTGCCATGGAAAGGACTGAAGAGTTGAAGGTTCAGAGGTAATATGCCTCACTGCCTGGCCAGTCTCTGGTTGGCATCCCCAACAAATACTTATTCACTGTTACTCTAGACCAGACCCTGTACTAGATTCTAGGACACAGAGGGGAATCGTGATCTCATGAAACATAGAGGAAGGTATGATTAGGTCTTCCCAGAAGAGGGAACATTCGAGCTAAATCTAGAAGGCACAAGAAAGAGTGTAAGCAAGTTGGAGTGGTGGGAAAGCTGTGTTTGAAGGAAAAAGAATTTAGTGATTTAAAATTCAAAGCATAAGGTAAAAATACATACAGTCATTTTATCCTTGAAAAAAAGTTAAATTGCCCACTTCTAAAGTATAGTCCTAGGATGCCAGGGTGGCTCAGTAGGTTAAGCATCGACTTTGGCTCAGGTCATGATCTCACGGTTCATGAGTTCAAGCCCTGCATCGTGCTCCCTGCTGTCAGCACAGAGCCTGCTTTGGATCCTCTGTCTCCCTCTCTTTCTGCCCCTCCCCCTCTCTTGCTCGCTCTTTCTCAAAAATAAACATTAAATAAAGTCAGTCCATCCCTCAGTCCTGTCTTTCTGGGCCCCGTATGGTCAGCTTTTCCTCCAGCATTGGAACAGATTGCTGCTTTTGTTTCTCATGCAGTGCTTGGTCTGCATTTAGGAGCTGTGCGTACAAACAGTACCTGTGCCTTGAGGATCATTTGCACATGATGAGATGCTCCTCCTGGGAGAAGCCCACAAGGACTGGGACCGCAGGAGGGAATATCAGGGCCACCTGTCCCGGCCTACATCACCTCACTCACATTTACAGACTGGGGTGGTAGACAGATTGATTTTCCAGGACTATTTTTATATTGTTTCTTCTCTCCCTCCCTCTGTCTTTGTTGGGTGAGCCACATAGTTGTGAGTGTGCAGGAGTTAGGTGTGCACGCAATGATGCTTGTATAGCTCATCTAGGCCATCAGTATATGTGTATGAAGAAAGAGAGGTAGGACATTTGGTCAAGAGGTGTCAAACACCAAACTCAGCTGTGTGGACTTGACCCTGTGAGAGTTCTAAAGGCAAGAAGGTGGTATGATTGTGACTGGGTTCTAGATGAAGGAGGGAAATAGGGAGGCTAGGGATGCTGAAGGTCCTTGGGCTTGGCTTGGCAACACAAGTGGCAGGGAGGCTGGCTGCAGAATTCTGGAGTAACTTGATGTGGGGTCAGCCACCCAAGTAGCAGAGCAATGTTGGTTCTGTTCCCAAGCCTGTTCTGGCCCAGTTCTGCTACTTGAAAGGATACAAAGGAGAGAACCATTGACTGAGTCACAGGGGCCCACAGTCTCCCTGGGACACTCCCTAGAGGGGTGGGGACAGAGCTGGTTGATAACAGAGAACATAAGATCACTTCAGTGGCATTTATTCCAAAAACATGCCATACACTGTGTATCAGTTTAATCAGTGTCTAATGCATCACTTGCCAACCTATTATGATGCTCTGGTTCTGTGAGGAAAACCAGATTGCAGCAGACAGAAGCTATTTCCCCTTGAGTGTGACTTTACATCAACCAAAGTCTGAACCCCGATTTCCACATCTGTAAAGCATCAAGTAGAGTATCACACTGCTCTCGTCCCCTGAGACACCCCATTGATTGAGGGGTCGGCTTTGGGTGAGGCAGAAAGGCTCAGAAATATTTGAACTCAGATCCGTCCCAAGATTTCATGTTGTATGGCTACACAAACCTCCACATCCCTAAAAGTTAGGCTAGGAATGGTCTCTGTTGACCCTGTGTGTCAGAGTAGACTTTGTGCCCACGTGAGGGCACACATTGTGAGGCAAAGACAAATGATGTGGTTTCCAAATTAGATTCTCCATGGACAATTTCTCTTGACTTAAAGCTTCTGAGAATGTCTCCTCTGGACCCACAGAGTCATCTGGAAGCTCCTGACTGTCCATTCTCAGCTTGGCTGCAAAGGCATCTTCAACTTGCCCTTAAGGACCCAAAGGCATTCAGAGTTAACGGGTGTAGTTGCTACTTGAGTCCAGGATTGGCAACTCCCACGTTAGAGGTTCTTCTTGGGGTTCACAGGCCCAGAAGCCTCCCAGCCCTGTCAGTGGAGGTGAGGATGGAGTGGCTGGACCCTTCCTAAGCAACACACAGAGGCCTGCAGGGAGGATGTGCACACCCTCTCACTCTCACTTGCTCGCTCACTCTGTCTGACACTCACACTCTGACAGTGCCTCACATTCCTTTATACTGGAGAGGTGTGTGACTTCTTGAGGTTGCCTTAAACACAGTGAAAGTTCCTTCTGAACACCCTCACCACCTCTCCAGCCATCCTGCTGCTACCAGTGCTCCATCTTGCCTTTTCATTTAGCCAACCAGCCTGCTTATCTGTATTTTAAGTCTGTCTCCCCGCCTACACAGTTCCAAGAGGACAGAGATTTGTAAGCACATAGTATACATTTAACACATAATTGATTAATAAATATATGAATGACTCCCTAGATCTCCCTCCATTGTTGACACCCCACTGTGGGAGTAAGAGGTGGGGTCACCAGTGGGGGATGAGGGTCAGGAATGTCTGTGGGACATGGTATTTAGGATGAAAACCAATGATTTGATGCCTTGACACACCCACTTTGATATGGCAAAAATACGTGGGGGGGAGGGGGGGCGGGGAGGGCAGGGCAGGAGCCTCTAAAGCATTAGAGCCAGAATGCCTTAGGATTTCCGCAGAGCACAAGCCCCACAGGGACAGCCCCCAGCCTAGAACAGGCCTAGTTGCCGCATGTTTGAGGTGGGTCCTTCTGAGACTGTAATTAGCACCCCACCCCACACCTTGGGAACAACTTGGAGGAGCGCTGCCCAGGAAGGAAGTCCACTGTCCCCTTCTTCCACCTCATCTTTCTCGTTGATCAGACTGAGAAGCTGCCTCCCAGACCACAAATAGCAAAGATAGTTTCAGACCGTCTGGCCCTCCATATGTGTACCAAATTTCATCCCATCCTGGCCAAGAATAGCCCATGTGAAAAGACTAAAAAAACAGACTTTGGTTTTCATTTATTAACCTAACTAATATAAAGCCAAGTTAATGCAGCATAATCAAGCTTTAACACTCTGCTTCCCACAAAGCTCTTATAGTGATAGTATTGAATTTAGAGTTTGATTATTTGGAAAAAAGACTCTAGTATTGCTAATTGTGTCTCTTTCTCTTGGTGACTTGTTAATTATTTCTGTTTATATTTTTAAGTGATTTAACTTATACAGATTACTTAGCCATGAAATTATTATTAATCTTGTAAAATCTGTTTCCTCCTATCTGCAACAGTCTGTTGTCATGGGAAGAAGCAAACTTTAGGCTTGAATCAGCACACACAAAGCAAACAAGGCCAAGGTCCTGCCATTTCTCCCTTGTTCAGCAGAGGGCAGATCAGAAGCGTTCAGTGTTACCTGGGTCAAACCCAGCTAGCTACCTAGCTACCCAGCTCTGCATTTTTGCCTTGGCTTGGGCAAGTCATTTCACTCTCTGAGCCTCAATGAAATGGAAAACACTAGTATCTGTCTCACAGAGTGATTTACTGAGGTACCATATGAGAAGGGGTTGGCCCGGGGCTAGACACATGGAAGCCTTAGTAAATGTTTGTGGTTTGGTTAAGTGGGCAATGTTGAAACACCCTGCTTCTCCAATTTTTGTTTCTATGATATGAAGAGCAGTCAGGCTCACCCCTGAGAGCTTGGACTAGCTGTGATTTCATGTGGACATTCTTCCTTGCCGGGCTGGATCCCCAGAACTAGAATTGAGATACCTTTGGCTCCATTTGACCTGGTGCCCTTGAAATTTTCCTCATCCAGAAGATTCTTGAAGGCCAGCAGCTGAGCTTGTGATAGAACTGACATTAACCCAAAACCAGTAGGGTTGAGTTTGGAATTCCATTTTTGACACTAACTAGCTGGGTATTCCTAAACCAGTGGTTGTCCCAGAACTTGCAGCATCAGCATCACCTGGGAACTTGTTAAAAATGCAAATTATTTTAACCATCCTGTAATTAAAATTAAAAACCTAATTAAAATTAAAAACCTAATTAAAAATGCAAATTCTTGGGCTCCACTCCAGATCTACTAATCCAAAGGGCTAGGGATGGGGCCCAGCCCTGCCGGTGATTCAGATGCCCTTTCTTTTGAGAACCACTGCCATAAGCAATTCATTTAAAGTCTTTGAACCTGAGTTCTCCTACCCAGAAAACAGAGGTGATAATCCTACCTCCCTGTCAATACTGTGAAGATTAGAAAAGAGAATACATTGCAAGGCCAGGTAGGAGGAGGGGCTTGCTCTCCAGCAGCCACATCTACCGGAACCCTACCCCCACCCTCAGGGAAACTTGCAAGTTCATCTTCTGTTTCCCCAGCAGTTGGAAGTAGCCTGAGCATTGATGCTTTTTATTGTTTTTCTCCCCTTTTATGGTTGGTGATTGGATGATTTCCTTTCTAGTGTGTTTTCTCCCATTTTACATTTAGTGATTTATTTTTTCATTTTTCTCTTTTGCAGATAAAGACTATTTCCTGATTGTGATTCAGAATCCAACTGAATAAGCCACTCTCTTGGCTCCGTGCATCATTCCTTAATTTAATAGCCCCCAAGAATAATAATGTTAAGCATGTCAACCAACTGGCAGGTGGAAATCACCTTTGAGCCTACTTAGACCAGTCCAGTGACCAAAGTCATCAAAGTCGTCCCTCTGCTGGCCAGTCACCCTTGAGTTCTTGGGTGGGCCTTCTTTCCTCATCTCCAGATTTTGGAGCAAGAGCTTTGAGTAGTCCACACCCTGCTTCCTTCTGACCTTCAGCTCACTTTGTCACCCTTGGAAAAGGCTGTTTTTCTTTAACTAAAAATAACTGAAATGCTTACCCTGCTGTGTGTCTTTAAACACTAGGTTGAAAAGGCCTCTCTGCCTCTCTCTTCCTGTGTAATCACGTGGTCTAATTGCTGAGCCCCAGTGCTGCCTCTGGCCGAGATGGCAGATTGTGCCCATGGTTCAGAGAGACCTGCTCCTTACTGCACCTGTGGCCACACATGCTGAACTGAGTCTTGTTTATAACTGGTACCCTGGTTTCTGGGCCTCTTGTCCCTAGCCATCCCTCTCAACATTTCCCACTGCCACCAATGTTTTAAAAGGTTATTTTTTTCTACTACACTGGGGATAGGAAAGGAGTGATATTTGTTGAGTACCCAGAATGCACCAGGTATGTTACATACCTTGGCTTATATCATCCTCACAAAACGCTACAGACAGTGTGAAAGCCATATTAAAGATGAGGAAATTGGGGTCTAGAGAATGACTTGCCTTAGGTCTCACAACTGTGACAGAGTCTCAGACTCCAGAAACTGTTTTTTCTGCACCTTCTTCCGAGAAATCCCCACTGGTCCTGTTTACCTGAGTGACCACATCCTGGGTAAATGTGTGCCTTCCCTCAGACTCGTGTGTGGGTCCCAGAACATGCCTGCTATTCTGTGAGGCTCTGGGCCCCATCATCCGGTAGCACTCTGGGATTTTTCCCCTCAGAAACCACATGTATTTATTTTTTATTAGGTTTTTCTTTTTGTCTTTTTTGTTACCTTGGAAACGAGGGAAAAGATTGATAACTGTGTAGTATAAACTTTGAAATCATTGTCCTTCATTTGCCAAAAGTAACCTTTGTCTACAGTGGGTTCTTCCATCTAGCAAAAATATCTCTCTGAATTTTCCAGTGAAGTTTCCTTAATGGTGTCAGGGGAGTAAAAGATGTACCCTTGGGAGCCCAGGGGTGTAGTTCATAAGGGTTCAGCAAAATTTCTTCAAACACTCCCTTTTTAGTGAAAGATGATAGGGATTTTCCACTCCATAATATATCCATATTTGTCTTAATATGGCAGTAATCCTTTCAGATAGTTTTCCCCAAATCTCCAAGGAAAACTGATTTTCTAGGAAACCACAGCACGTTTGCCCTGTCCCTGTGGACTCAGGAAGAACACCTGAGGAGAGGGTGATTATAGGACCAGAGCAAAATGACCTTGGATCAGTATTGATTGATTTAAAGAAAGTGAGGTATAGTCACTGGTATCTTCTCTTTGTTCTCAGGCTTTTTTAGGCTGGAATCTAAGTTTCCTGTGTCCTGGCTTGAGTTTCTCCAAAAAGGATAATGGGGAAGACGGTCTGGTCAACTTAGATTATCCGGTGGCACAGTCTGATTTCTAGAAGAGGGAAGGGGCCCTGTCCCTGGGGAAGGAGGTGGTCTGGCTCCAGAGCAGGTCTTGAAGACCTCCCCCTCCTTTCTTCCCTTAGTCCTTCTCACACACCCTCTTGTTTGCCTTAAAGGATCCCCCAAGATCCTAAGGAAGGTTTAGGCTCAGTCTGGCTTTAGGGAAAACAAGATGACTCATGAACATCTGCCTCTGAGTCCCCTCGGCAATGGGATTTCTTTACATATGGGAAGCCTGCATTGGATGCACTCCAGTTTGTGATAACAATGTGTAGAACTCCCTGAACTCATCTTAAGATGTAAAAACTCTGATTTTTAATTAAAAATTTAAATGATGGTGGGGGCACCTGGGTGGCTCAGTCGGTTAAGCATCTGACTCAGTTTCAGCTCAGGTCATGATCTCATGGTTCATGGTTTTGAGCCCCTCGTCAGGCTCTGCACTGATGGTATGGAGCCTACTTGGGATTCTCTCTCCCTCTCTCCCTCCCCCTCCCCCACCCATGCTAAATAAATAAACTTAAGAAAAAAAAATTTTTTTTAAGTTTAAATGATGATAGAACATATGTAAATAGCCTGGAGTTTCTGTACTTAAAGTAGCAAATGTATGGGAATATAATACCTACTAAGGTTGGAAACTGACAACTACCCTGGGTGTGAAGGGAAGAACATCACTTCTGGGTTTCAGAAGTACATTTGCCAGTATAATATATGGATGTGCCCACTGCTAGCATTATGATTTTCAAAGATACAGAGAAGTTGAAATAATTATATACCTCCATTTAATTCTACAATTAACATTCTGCTACATTTCTATTATAACTACCCATTCCTTTATCCATCCTGTTTTTTGATGCATTTCAAAGGACAGCAGCAGACAGTATACACTCCTAAACACTTCAACATGTGTGCCAGTAACCAGTTTACCTTTTCTGGAGGGCGGGTAAGATTTACTTACAGTAAATGGCATATGACAAGGGCTTACACCAGCCAGCTGAGCCCCCTATTCAAGATCACCTCACCCTGGGGGCGCCTGGGTGGCGCAGTCGGTTAAGCGTCCGACTTCAGCCAGGTCACGATCTCGCGGTCCGTGAGTTCGAGCCCCGCGTCGGGCTCTGGGCTGATGGCTCAGAGCCTGGAGCCTGTTTCCGATTCTGTGTCTCCCTCTCTCTCTGCCCCTCCCCCGTTCATGCTCTGTCTCTCTCTGTCCCAAAAATAAATAAAAGTTGAAAAAAAAATTAAAAAAAAAAAAAAAAAGATCACCTCACCCTGAATGCTGTCCTGCTTCCCAGCCAGTCTCCACCCCTACTCCCCAGAGGCAACCCCTGTTCAGACTCCTTCAGGTATGATCTTCACGCTCCAAGGTGCAGCTCCATCCATCATTCAACCATCCACCTCAGCACTTGGCACTGTGCCTGGAAATTCTGATGTTCTTCTGTGAGCCGGTATTGCCTTTCTCCAAAAATGTGTTTTTAAAGCACTGCAGGAATTACAGGCTTTCTCCTGTTAACGTATGTTGGACTCAAACCAACTACTTTTGTACATTTTTTCACTGAGAATCCCAAACCATCTTTCCACACCAAATTCAGCTTCTGGTGAATTACCAGGGGGTGAAAGAGAAATGCAGATCTCCTAAATTCAATCATTACGGCACGTAGAAATCATGAAGTTGCCAAACATGTCAAATCAGTAGAGCTACAATCCAGTGTCCATGAACTTAAACTGATCAATCATATTCAACTGAGAAGGAAAGTAACACCAAACACAAAGTGCTAGTTTGTTCAACTGTTGTGTTAAACAAGCTCAGTTGGATCAAAAGGCAATTTTATTATGGTCGCCCACTGTCTTTACATTGATTCTCTGGGGCTCGTGCTTCCCTTGCCCCTGGATGGGATGTCAGGCAAGTCTCGAGGCTTCTCTCCTCATTCCCAGGGCCTTGAAGGCCCACTGGAGATGATGTGCCCAGTCTGGTGTGACGACAAAATTTTGAACCGAATATGGAGATGGAGATTGCCCCTCACCTACCAGGTGCTTGACCCTGTTTCCCCACTTGGTGCTGTCCCCTCTTTGGCCCCATGTTGCCATAAGGAGAATGAGATGGAAAGTGTGTACTTTACCAGGACTGTTGTGAACGAGTTCTGGCTCTCTAAGCCTGGCGTGTGTTTAAAGCTGAAATTCGTCCTTCTGGCTCATCTGTCGTGAGTTTTCAAGACCTGTCTTGTCCTACCTGCCACTCCCTTAACTTTGGACGATGCGCTCTCCCTGGCTGGCCCCTCATAACTGTGCTTTTGGCCTCTGGTTCTCAGGGTCCCCTCTACACACTTTCCGTCTGTCGACTCAAGGTGAAACAGAAGCTTCCACCTCTTTTACAGGCAGAAGTCTGGACTCACTTTGGGGCCCCTTGTTTTGCAGTCCTGCACTGGTCCTGCTCCTCTCCTTAGCATAGGCCACTATTGCCTTGGGGCTTCAGTAGAAACAGATGAAAATTATTAGACTTTAACTTCCTAGTTCACAAGAAATATGTTATTAAAAACTTGTCTAAAAGGCAAGAAGAAATAGGAATTTCATGATTTTTTAAAACCTCTGGATTTCAAATACTTTTTTTGTCCTACAAGACTTGTTTGGTTTTCATGTATTATTAGGTTTTCAAATATATTTAGAGAAAACATTATAGACAAAGTAGCATATTGCCTGGAATTTGTTCTTATTTTACAATCTTCCTTTACAAAGCAGTGCTTTGTTCATTCATTCAGCAGTTATTTAGTGGTGCCTACTATGCGCCAGGCCCGTCTAGACGTAAAGGAATAGTAACAGCTTATGTCTAGTGGAGATGAGACAACAGTTAAAAAAAAACAAAACAAAATTGTGTTTGGGATCCATCTTTGGATCAATTAAAGCATAATCCCTGAACATCATTAGTTTGTAAAAGCTTCCCAGGTTTTTTGACATGCACCTAGAGTGGAAAAACACTGACCTATACAGCCTTACACACACATACCAGGGTTGTGAGTTCAAGAGGCTATAACAATATCCAGAGACAAGGAAAAACTCTTGAAAGATTAAAAATATGAGGGGAATAATTTCAACAGAAGAGTTGCAAGATAAAGTTGAGAAAATCTCCCTAAAAGTGGAAAAAAGGAAGAAAAAATGGAAAAGTTAAGAAAATAAAGGGATTGGTCTGGGATATTCAACATCTGATTAACAGAAGTTCCAGAAAGAGAAAACAGAAGGTTGAAAATACCAGCAAGAGACTGTAAGAAAAGTTTCCAAGACTAAGGACCTAAGTTTCCAGATCAAAAGATCTGAATGTCCAGAGTAATTAATTTTATTTTTTTAATTAATTTATTTTTTTATAGTGATTTTATTTTTAAAAATTTTTTTAACGTTTATTTATTTTTGAGACAGAGAGAGACAGAGCATGAATGGGGGAGGGGCAGAGAGAGGGAGACACAGAATCGGAAGCAGGCTTCAGGCTCTGAGCCATCAGCACAGAGCCCGACGCGGGGCTCGAACTCACGGACCATGAGATCGTGACCTGAGCTGAAGTCGGATGCTTAACCGACTGAGCCACCCAGGCGCCCCCAGAGTAATTACTTTTAAAAAGACCCACGCCAGGCCCCATCATCATGAGATCTCAGAACATTTTGGACAGACACAATCCAGAGAAAGAA